TGATTGGCCGCCAGTAAAAACTCGCGAGGGACAGCTGGAAGCGACGAACAAAACGGGACACGTAAGTGGAAAGCGGTGCTTGGCTGGAAAGATGGAAAGAGGGGCGTTGGGCAGGGGGTGCGGGGGCGCAGACAGCTGCTTGCGTTGCAAAAAAAGAAGGGACGAAGAAAGAAGTAAAAGAGAAAGAAGTGCGGAAGAAATGTGGAATTAGAAAAGGTTATTGCTCTCTCCGGCGATTTTCATCAAAAAACTACTGGAATTACCTACCATTAAGTTACACCGGTAAACTGTATAGGTGGTCCATTAATTATACACATATCATTATTAGTTGCCACATGAGCATTACTTTTCTACGGGTAATCCAGTTTAATATTCAGTTCTATACAAAAAGCGTGTAAAACTGGTAAAAATCGAAATAATACTTAAGTTTTATTGAGCTGAATTAAAAAAAAAACTCAACAAAATATATTTTATGCTGTTTATGGCCCCAAGTTGATAAAGTGTGATTTTTGAGGATACAATGTACGGCAAATATAATATTTACATGAATGTAAACATTTTATCATCATAAACTGCCAGAGCGTCATTAAGTTTATATTACAAATTTTGAAGCTTGGCTAAATTCATGGTCCTTCAGTTTAGTTCTGGAAAGATCTGCCAAAGGTGTCTTGATTAAGGTCTAGAAAGATCTACCAGTTTCTGGAGGAAATCATTCTTCAATGAGTTCTGCGAGGTCTCTAATCAATCCACCTTTTTGTCTCCCACACAGACCATGAAACTCGTGCTCTTATTGAGCGCCCTGCTGGCGGGGATCGCCCTTTCCCAGGGAGCCGCCGTGATGTCCGTGGATCTGGGCACCGAGTGGATGAAGGTGGGCGTCGTCTCGCCCGGCGTGCCCATGGAAATCGCCCTGAACCGCGAATCCAAGCGCAAGACCCCAGCCATCCTGGCCTTCCGCGATGGAGTGCGAACCATTGGCGAGGATGCCCAGACCATTGGCATCAAGGATCCCAACTCGGCCTATGGTTATCTTTTGGATCTGCTGGGCAAGACGGTGGATAACCCCATTGTGGATTTGTATAAGTAAGTAAGTGGGCTGCTGTGGGCCACGTCATTGTTGCGAATCAATAACTTATCACTAAATCAAACATATATTTTTGGTTTTTAGGAAACGCTTTCCATACTACAACATTGTTGGCGATCCGGAGCGCAATACCGTGGTCTTCCGCAAGAGCGATACCGAAGAGTTCTCCGTGGAGGAGCTGGTGGCCCAGATGCTGGTCAAGGCCAAACAATTTGCCCAGGAATCCGTACAGCAGCCCATTACCGAGTGCGTTCTGACCGTGCCCGGCTATTTTGGCCAAGCCGAAAGGGAGGCCCTGTTGTCGGCGGCTCAATTGGCCAACCTGAAGGTGCTCCAACTGATCAACGACTATGCGGCGGTGGCCCTTAACTACGGTGTCTTCCATCGTGGCGAAATCAACGAAACGGCTCAGTACTTCCTCTTCTACGACATGGGCGCCTATAAGACCTCGGCCGCTGTGGTCAGCTATCAGTTGGTGAAGGACAAACAGACCAAGGAGATTAATCCTGTGGTCCAAGTCCTCGGCGTTGGCTATGATCGCACCCTGGGTGGCCTGGAGATCCAGTTGAGACTGCGCGACTACCTGGCCCAGGAGTTTAATGCACTGAAAAAGACCAAAACCGATGTGACCAAACACCCCAAGGCTCTGGCCAAACTTTTCAAGGAGGCTGGTCGCCTAAAGAACGTTCTGTCTGCCAATACAGAGTTCTTTGCCCAAATCGAGAATCTGCTGGAGGACATTGACTTTAAGCTGACCGTTTCCCGCGAGAAGTTGGAGCAGATCTGCGAGGATCTCTGGCCCAGGGCCACCAAGCCACTGGAACAGGCCTTGGCTTCGTCGCACCTCAGTTTGGATGTGATCAACCAGGTGATATTGTTCGGAGGCGGCACTCGAGTCCCGCGTGTCCAGGAGACCATCAAGGCTCTTATTAAGCAGGAACTGGGCAAGAATCTGAATGCCGATGAGTCGGCCACCATGGGCGCCGTTTATAAGGCAGCCGACTTATCCGCCGGCTTCAAAGTCAAGAAGTTTGTGGTCAAGGACGCCACGCTGTTCCCCCTGCAAGTGTCCTTTGAGAGGGATCCGGGCGAGGGTGCTGCCGTCAAGCAGGTGAAACGCGTTCTGTTCGCCCTGATGAACCCCTATCCCCAGAAGAAGGTCATCACCTTCAACAAGCACACGGACGACTTTGAGTTCTATGTAAACTACGCCGATTTGGATCGTTATAGCAAGGAAGAGATCGCCGCTTTGGGCAGCTTGAATGTGACTAAGGTGCAGCTAAAGCAGGTTAAGGAACTGCTAGAGAAATCCAAGAAGGAACTGGTGGACAACAAGGGCATCAAAGCCTACTTCTACCTAGATGACTCTGGCATTTTCCGCTGCACGGGCGTGGAGTATGTGTACGAAAAGCAAAAGCCCGAGGAAGATGCGGATGATGACAGCACGTTGTCCAAGTTGGGCAGCACTTTGAGTAAGCTGTTCACCAAGGACGGTGAGGATGAGAAGAAGGAGGACTCGGAGCAGGGAGAGGAGCCATCCAACGCTGGTGACGACTCCACCAAAACGGATGAGACTGAGAAGGCAAAGGAGGAGGCCAGCAGCAAGGAGCAAAAGTCTGAGGAGAACGGCAAGCAGGAGGCTGAGGCCAAAAACGATACCATCAAGCTGGTGACTGTCAAGTCCCCGGTGAACTATGAATCCCAAACGCAGTTCACTGTTCCTCTGGCCGGTTCCGGTTATGAGAGCTCGGTGGCCAAACTGGCTGCCATCAACAAGGCTGAGGAGCAACGTGTCCGCTTGGAGTCCGCCTTTAATGCCCTCGAAGCCCACATCATTGAAGTGCAACAGAAATTGGACGAAGATTCGTATGCCAAGTGCGCCACCGCCGAGGAGAAGGAGAAACTCCTGGCCGAGTGCAGCACCTTGGGTGAATGGCTGTACGAGGATCTAGAGGATCCCAAGGCGGAAATCTACGAGGAAAAACTGGCGCAGCTGAAAAAGCTCTCCAACGTCTTTTTGGCCCGTCACTGGGAGCATGAGGAGCGACCGGAGGCCATTAAGGCCCTCAAGGGCATGATTGATGGCGCCGAAAAGTTCCTCATCACCGGACGCAATCTCACCAAAGACACCAATCCCGAAAAGGACGTCTTCTCCCAGGTGGAAATCGAAATGTTGGAAAAAGTTATAACCGAAACCAACGTTTGGCTGAAAACGGAGACGGCAGCCCAGAAGAAGCTGGCCAAGAACGCAGATATCCGGCTGACTGTCAAGGATATCACAGACAAGATGAGCCTGCTGGATCGCGAGGTCAAGTACTTGGTTAACAAGATTAAGATCTGGAAGCCCAAGGTGAAGCCGGCTGCTGAAAAGGACAAGAAGAAGGAGGAGGAGGTGGTGGCCTCCGGCAGCGGCGATGGCACCAAGGCGGAGGAGGAGGCAGAGGCCAAGGCCGAGGAACAGCAGGAACAGCCGGAAAAGGAGCAGCAGGAGCCGGTGGAGGAGATTACTCCCACGCCCACAGAGGAGGAGGAGGCCAAGACACCGCACAGTGAGCTCTAAGGAGCCGGATTACGAGGACTGGAGGATTAAGAGCATCCGGAGCAGCATAAAGCCAAGTGCCTGTCTTAGGATTCGAAGGAGGATTCAAATCTGGGGGTTACACAGGGGGAAAAAGACGGCAAATGGCCACGAATCGGGGGCGTCTTAATTTCTATTAATTTTTTTAGCTAAAGTCGGGGTTAAATTATGCTACTTCTAATCTAAAACAAAAAAAACAAAAACGACACACAAAATAATGTAAACCGTAACTAAACTAAATGTAAAAACCATTTTCCATTTCCATACCATTCCGCATAGGAAATACAAGACTTGAAGAAGTACTCACACGACCCCTCTATATATCCACTATATCTTATTGATCTATTGTAGCGAAAGTAGCAAAACGAATTGGGCGGGGAGCCGAGTTAAGATCGTAATAAATCTGAAATCGTCAAGAACGTGAGAGAAGCTAATAAAGTTTGTATTGTGTTGTAATCGGATTGGCCTTCTGACCCAAGCTGTTTTGGTTTTTTAAAAACGGTGCGAAAGATTTAGATGACAATTATATATTATTTATCTAGATAAATGTAGCTTGTCTAGGATGACAATGGTGTTATAAGATGATGTAAGATTTGGATTTTGTTGCAGAATATAATTGTAAAAGAAGAGGGCAGGGCAGTTGATTATTGTGTTCGAAGTGTGAGCATACTTTCCAAAATATATTCAGTTTTTAAAATTTGCCGCCTAAGTGCAACCGATAGTTTAGGTAGGTTGACTTAAATACCTAAATTACTAACAGTGTAACTTTGGTTCGGAATTGTATAATTTCATACATTTTCATAGATTTTTGGTACTGAAATGTTCAGCTTACAATTTACATTTATAAACTTTACATATCAGTACCACAATTTACTTTTAGTGATTTTAAAAAGACCTAAAATATAACGATATTAATATTTATTTTATTTCAAAATATCGATATATTGATATTTTCATATATTCACATCCCTATAGCGCAGGTCCATTAACAGCAATGTTAGAAAATGTCGTACCTTAACATTTCTTTTAAAAGAGAGGGGAATCAGCTGGTGTGACCATCCGCCAACCGCTGCGAAAAGTAGAAAATATTAATACCCTGGTCTGTCCTTTTCGCGTTTTTAATGTCACGGGCGATTTTCTCACTATAAATTATAGAATATCACAAATATATTTTAATAAAATAACGATATTCAATATCAGGTGAAAAATATCACGATATAAATATTTATTTTTATTCAAAAATATCGATTTATTGATATTTTGATATATTTTTCACATCCCTAGTTGTTGGTAAAAAAAAGGTAAAGCGGGCGGACGTGCGTGGAAACTGAAACTAAATTAAACTCTTCGTGAAATTTTCGTGTGTTATTTTTCTTTTTTTATTGTCTTTTTTTCTGGGAAATTCACCCAGCTGCTGTTTTGCTCACAAATACACGCGCAAGTGTGCCTGTGTGTGCGATGAGAGTTGCTGTTTCTTGTGCCCGTTTTTCCCCGTGTGTCTGTGTCTCTTTCTGTGCCCCGTGTTCCGTGCAAACAAAGGATTTGTTCTTGGGGCTCCGTTAGTTTTAGTTGTTAGTTGTTTGCTTTGGTCGCCTAAATATTGATAAATGATTAAAAAGCCAAGTTGCAGACTGCGTTTAAGTGTGTGCGAGGTGCCAGTGAGTGTGTGTGTGTATGCAATGCTGAAAACGCAGACTGCGAGGAGGGGAAGGAGGAGAGATGGATGAAAAAGAAACAGGAGGTGGGGACAAGCAGAGCAAAGAGTGTGGCGGGGGAAAAACAGTTATGCAGCTGTGCACAGTGGAGCCTCGGCAAAAAATTGGCTCAGTTTTCGATTTCCGATTGCCCATACTTGACACTTTCCTCTTTGTCATGGATTTTCTTCATCTGTCTCCATTTTTCTTTCAACGCGAGCTTTTTCTGTGTAGAAATTTCCCGTGTGAGCACACGAAAATAACAAACGCAGCAGAAAAGGCAGACGACGAAAGGGGGGCTAGGAGATAAACGCAAAATTTGTTGTTTTTTCTCTTCTTTTTCGCCGATTTCCAATCGGTTTTTCGATGAGTTCCGATCGTTGCGTAGGCAAGAAGGGAAAGAAGACCTGCTGTGCGAGTGAGAGGGGACTAGCAATTTGCACAAGTGTGTGTGTCAGGTCTTGTCTGTTGTGCCTGTGTGTGTGTAAGCCATTTGTTGTTTTTGTTTTGGCTAGCTAGCAACAACAATAATAATAATACAAATGTTAAGAACAAACCAAGTGAAACACGTGTTTAAAACTCAATTTGCAGTTAAAACCCCCCAGGACAAGCCAACAAACAATAAACTCAACAGAAAAAAGCAAACGAAAAGAAAACGGTCATAAGTCGAAGTCGGAAAAATCAAAGTGCAAAACTGAACGCCAAAAAAAGTTGAGAGTGCGAGCGAGACAGCGCATGCTGGGCGCCGCAGGAGCTGAAGAAGAAGCAGTGAGAGTGAAGTTAACTGGAAGTGGTGTGGAAAGAGGAGAGCGACAAGAGAGAGCCAGGCGGAAGGGAAACAACAAAGAACAACCAGGCGGCGACGACACAAACGCAAAATAGTCGCCCTTTCAATCTACCTCCAAGCATAAGCAAAACTTTATTCTAAAAATCACAATAACTAAAATAAGCACCGAAATAAATACATATACATATATATAAAGTGGAAATCGTAAACGCAAAACGGAAGAGCGCCATCTAGTGTCGGCGAGTCCAAGCAGCAGCTGACAGACAGAAAGAGACCGCAAAGAGGGGAGCAAACAACAAATACAAGCTTTCTTCGCCTGGAAGTCGAAGAGAAAGAGCGTCAGAGAGGGGGGAGTCGGCTCCCGAAAACCCCACGAACCACAAAAATAAACTCCACTTGGACCACAATAATAATCACAATAGCCAAGTAAGAGCCAAAAAACAAAAACAATAAAGGAAGCCCAGACCAGTTGCCTTTGAAGCCCGCCACAAGATGGCGTGCCTTAACACCCTGAAGCAGGAAATCAAAACGTTGGAGAAGATCTTCCCGAAGAATCACGAGCGCTTTCAGATCCTCAATTCCAGCGTCGACGAACTGCTCTGCCGGTTCATCGACAAGAATGGAAAGCGCTACGATATCCATGCCAACATAACGGTAAGTCGCCCATGATTTTTGACTTTCCCACACAGTGAAAAAATGGGGATTACTTTCAAGGATTATTTAGTTTTGCGACATCTTCAAAACCCTAAGCTTGTAAAAAGTAATCTTTAACACACATTTCCATTAAGTGCACAACCCAAGCTCAGTGTCTGACTCATTTGCGAGCAAAAGAAATGCAAATTCAGCCAGATTCCCAATGGATTTCTAACAAGTTTCTCCATGAAAGTGACCTTCTCGGCAATTTTAAATATAATTTTCGCAACAAGCTCGCCATCAAGTTCAAACGATTACAGCTTTGAAGGGGCACGAATTTGTTTTTCTTTCTGTGTATCTGGCTTAAAATTTATCGTTATCGATAGATAGGGGTATTGGAGTAGGGCTATCATAGCGCAGTGTTTACAAATGATTTGGGGCTGGAGGAGGTAACCATCCACTGTTTGACCCAGCACTTTTATTGCCCCCTCGTTCACACCCCTTCCCCTCTTTTTATCCCCAATGCAACGATAACTTTATTTATATTGTGATTGTATAGGTTTCTATATATAGCAGGTCTAGAAAGTGGTCCGAGTTTTAAAGCCTGGTGCTAATGATTCGAACACCTTATATTTGTAGACTAAAATAACCCTTATTTCGATATGTTTGTTTATCCCATAAATATTAGAATACTGATTACTGACATTTGATCAAAATCTCTGATTAAAATGTTTTGAGTAAATATGAATATGATGTCTAAAAATTTTTTTATTTTCATAAGTTGATTTTTTATAATCCTCATTATATTTATGTTTTGGCAACCCTAAGTTTCTCCTTTCTTCCTTTAAATAGTGCCTTCCTTATTCTTCTCTTCAATTTTACTTTATCGTTTATCCTTCTCTTTCTTTCCCGCTTATGCGTGTTTATATATGTGAAGATTAAGATTTGTGCCGATTCTTTATTCCCACGCTGCTCAGTTGAGATGGGATATTCATATGTATCTGTTAAGTATATATGTGTGTGTGTGGTAGTCGATGCCCTTTGGCCGCTCTCTTTGTGCTCTTCCTTTTGTTTTTGGCGACTGATCCTTCCAATGGCTGCTATAGGAAATGTTCTGGGAATAAATTTTTAAAAACATGGATTTTGTCTACATTTTTGCAATGGATGTCCCAATTGGTTCAACTCCTTGCGTTATAAAGTAAGGTGTGATTCATTGCACCCGTTCACGATTACGATCATCGGTTGCCAAGCTGTCCCATCTGTTTTCTGTCTTCTGTGATCACTGATCCCCGCTTGGTTCAACGATCTAATTAAAGGTTATAATTTCGTACTTGTTGTGGGGTTTCGGTTCTCCATCGCGTTTATTATTTGTTTATTTACAAGTGCATGCAAAGTAACCCCGACGACGACGACGACGAAAAATTCACCTGAGAACGGCAAAAAACGAGTACGGGAACGAGAATGGAAATAAGAGGGATCTTTTGTCTGTGTCCAATTGTCGAGTGCAAAGTCAAAGTCCTTGACCCACCCCACACACGCGATTTGTAAGGCCCACCCCCTTTGGTTAGAAACACGGTAGATCCCCAATAAAACCTACGAGCTTCAGGGCCAAGTCTCTTCTCGTGTTCTCAGTGACTACTGATACTCAAGTATCAAGAAGTATATTGCTTAGGTATTTTTTCATTGGGAAAGTCAGGCTTTATCAGTTTATTGGCGACAAGTCCGATAATCTTTGACAATATTTGATCTTATCTAGACGGGTTATCAACGAGAACACTTGTTCCCAAAAATCCAAGTGTTCCAGGCTGATGTAACTAATGTTTATGTTCTTGGGTCATTCCGCAGGAAACCTATCCCTCATCGCCACCAGTTTGGTTCGCAGAGAGCGAGGAGACGAGCGTCACAAATGCTGTTCAAATACTTAGCAATACAAATGGACGTGATAATCACGTGATTAATCAGGTGAAAACCCCAATAACCCTATAGCCAATAACCCTACATATTTTTAGTCCAAATAAGAATGATTATAATAATGATAACCTTTGATATGTGCAGGTGGGCATACTGCTTCGCGAGCTGTGCCGACTACACAACGTTCCACTGCCACCCGACATCGATAATTTGGCCCTGCCGCTGCAAACGCCGCCACCATCCGCTTCTCCACTCCGCTGCGAGCAGAGACCAGGAGGCGGCGGAGCGGGGGGCGGGGGCGGACCACATGGCAACGAAGAGACCGATTCGGATCAGGAGGAGATCGAGGATCCCATCGGCGAGAGCGAACAGGAGAGCGAGGGCGACGAGGACTTGCCGCTGGAAATGGATGATGTACGAAGTACAAACAAGGTGCGCTATAGCTGAAGGAAAGGATGTGCTAGCTATATACATAGCTTCGATATAATGTCCAGATATTCATATCGTTTTAGTTGATTGCTAAAATCATCTTTTAGTTCATACCCTAATTGCCTTGTAATCAATTCGTGTTACCTTCCAAATATTACTTTGTACCTTTATTGTAGTGTCATCGTGTGCAAGGTGGCAATTACGTTTTAAGTACTAAGTCTCCTAGCAAATTGCGTCGAAATCGACAAAATAATTATATTCGTTGCAATCGAATTTGAGTTAATACTGCATAGCTGCCAATTACTTTTGGATTTGTTTGAAAATTGCTTTGGAACAATTTACTTTAATCGAATCAATATTTGCATTTGTATTACAAGAAAATTGGTGATACTTTTACATTGACCTGAAATTGTAAATTTACTGGGTATATAGAAGGATAATTAAGAATTTATTTTGAATATTAAATTTGCAGAAGGACGACATGGAAGTGGAACACCTAGCAACTCTAGAAAGACTGCGTCAAAGTCAAAGACAAGACTATCTAAAAGTGAGTTCAATGATACTTGACAATAGAACGTGTTATATATTGAATGTTTCGATTGGTTTGTTTCTAGGGTTCCGTTTCGGGCTCCGTACAGGCAACCGATCGCTTGATGAAGGAACTACGTGATATTTATCGATCGGACGCCTTCAAAAAGAACATGTATTCTATTGAGCTCGTCAACGAGTCGATTTACGAGTGGAACATACGCCTCAAGTCTGTCGATCCCGACAGTCCGCTGCACAGTGATCTGTTGATGCTCAAGGAGAAGGAGGGCAAGGACAGCATACTGCTGAATATACTCTTCAAGGAGACGTATCCCTTCGAGCCGCCATTTGTGCGCGTCGTCCATCCGATTATCTCAGGTGGGATAAAATGGAAAAATAAGTAAATCTAGGGCTTTAACTTGAATGTTTGCTTTACTTCCAAGGCGGATATGTGCTCATCGGCGGTGCCATCTGCATGGAACTACTGACCAAACAAGGCTGGAGCTCGGCCTACACCGTGGAGGCGGTAATAATGCAAATTGCAGCCACCCTCGTCAAGGGGAAGGCGCGCATCCAGTTTGGGGCCACCAAAGTATGTGAAATTCGTAACATTTAAGTCGGAAACACAATCACTTGTTACCATCTCCCATTAACAGGCACTGACCCAGGGTCAATATAGTTTGGCTCGAGCCCAGCAGAGCTTCAAATCTCTGGTACAGATTCACGAAAAGAATGGTAAGCTCTAGAATAACAGACAGGCCAAGCAGAGTATCCAATTAAGAGATAACCCATCTTTTGTTCTTTTTACAGGCTGGTTCACACCGCCCAAGGAAGATGGCTAAGACAGAAGAGTCCCCAGACGCACATCCTTTATAGAATAACGCATGCCACAACCAACACACATTCATACCCGTCAACATTACCCTATCCACATCCGCCAAGCACACATCCACACCCACAGCCCCCACTCACTGCCGGTTTGATCTGATGACATGTCTGATGTGTCAACTCGTCAGGACCAATTAGGACGAAGCCCCCGAATTCAAGGAGAGGCCCACAATGTTTTGCTTGCTTGCTGCGAAGTCGATGAAAGATGCATTCGAGCCTCGAGCCCATCAGCCATTCGCGTATGTTTAGTTGCACGCTTGTAAACCTTATATCGACTAGTTGAACACGCGTTTTGTATTAACGGTTACTGTTCTGTTGCAAGTAAATTCATATGTATATGTCCACTCGTCTTCTCTGTAGTGTGTAGAGTAGTCTTCTAACCAAATCCCGCGGCCCAAATCGTCTATCTTGTACAGAGTCTTGGAAACCGGAGCTGATTGTGAGGGCGCAGTAGCAGAAGTAGCAAAGAAATCAGCAGCCGGAGGGTGTAAAATGTAAAGGCAATATCTGTTATGTATATGAGTATAATTTGTAATTTAAAAGTTGTAAATGTAGTGGCTTCGACAACACCTTCCAAACAAACACCATCCAACACCCGCAGCCCCCAAACACTCCACACACACACCACACACACACGCCCCTAAAGTTGTAAACTAGTTAAGACGCCTAACTGTATTCTTATTTTAATTTAACAAATCCGTGGTATCTTATATTTTTTTCTCTTTAACTGGTAAGCAAAAAAAAATGAAGCGGCAAGTTGGCAAAAGAGTTGTCGCGACGTCAAGCGGAATAGATATATATATATATATATACCTATACATACATATAAATATAAATATACATAAATATAAAGATATATATTAATATTAGCGCGAAAGTTTAGCTTAAGCAGTATAATACAAAACGATGCGTCGAAGATGAGCAAATTCTAAGTGTAAATTCGTCTTTCCAAATAATCGTAAAATAACGTAAATCTAAACCTAAAAAAAAAAAATTAAAAAATAAACAGCTAAATCGAGTAGTTGGAGAACGAAAATCGAAAATATTTGCAATTGTAATATGCATTGAAGCAAAAGAAGAAAGAAAACGAGTTAATTCGAGGACAACTGTTTTGCTGTCCCCATTATCATTGTTTTTTTTATTATTCGTACAACGGCAGACAAAATTTCATTGTACATTTCAAAACGGAAATTGGCATGCACGACGAAATGTTCATTTTAAGTATGTATTTAATAAAGAAGGATATATACATGCATAGTATGAATCGACAAATACTTTATTTTGAGTCTGGTTCGGTGTTCTTTTATGGGGTTTCTGAATTACTTGATGGTATACTCAAGGTCAGAGGGATTTTATGAGTGCCCAATAACAACAATCGTCTTGTTTGCTAACACTTTTAATATTAAACTAGCTTCAGAAACTTAAGATAAACTTTAAAGTAGCAAAAAATATTTGTTTAGCGGGTGCCTACATTAAATAAAGTTAGACTAACGGCTTTAGACTTAAACTATCACTCCGAATCGTTGAATGACGATGCCCTGGGTCACTCAACCATGACCACGTACTTCTCCGCCGCCGACGAGGGCTGCATCTTTTGTCCCTTGGTGTCCACATAAGTGGATTTATGAACCACTTCGCCATTGTCCATTGAAACTCCAATGAGCATGTCCATGGCGCCCTTTAGCTGCATCAGCTCGGTGGTCAGCTTCACCTCCGTCTCCATAGCGAAAGCCAATCGTTCCAGTGCCTCCATCAGTTTCTGGCTGTAGGTCACAAGTCTCCGCTCGAAGACCATCAAGATTGTGCTGGCGGCCATCAACAGCGGGCGCATGAATCGCATCTCACCCAAATGGTTGATCACAAAGTTGATAAACCTTACGAGCACTCTGTCGGGACGACCAATGAGAGCCTTGTATAGACATCTCCGATGCAGCAGGTCCGTGACGACCGCCACCACGAGCTCCGGCTGTTTTTCCATCATCTGGGGCGCCATCACGTCGTCCAATGCTTTCTTGTGGTCAAACCTGCGCAGATGAACATCGAATTTTTTCAATCCCGGTCCCTTGACCCGGTCTTTGATGATTTTGTCCGCCTTCTGGGTGTCGTTTGGTCGTTTCGGCTCCTTGTACATCTTGCGTTCCCGATCCGCTCGGATTTTTTTCAAATGACTGGGCTTGCTGTCCACGATCATGCGACGAATGGAGACAAGACCATCGACCATGCCAGCCACAACAGCCTGATCACCGCTGGCGACGGCCATGCTGACCACAGCATTGGGATAGGTCAGCGTGTGCACAGTCTTGTAGGTGCTCACATCGTAGATCTTGACGTGCCGATCCAGCCCGCCGGAGAACAGTCTCCTGCCATCGGAGCCCAGCCGCAAACAGGTCACTGTTTTGTGATGCTGCGACATCATGGTGAGCAGGCGACAGCCGCTGATGAGATCCCAAACTCGGACCTGGTTGCCACCGGCGCTGACGAAGATCGAGCCGTTGGGAAGGAACAACATGGACTCCACGGGAGCTCCGTGATCCAAAGTGCGCTGCACCGCCGTCTCCGCACGCGTATCGTAGAGACTGATCTTGCCATCGTAGCCGCCGGAGACAAACATGTGCGCCGCCTGCGGGTGCATGGCCCCGGCGCGAATGTAGTCTGTGTGCGCGTCCCCGTAGGTCTGCACTACTTTCTCGTTGGCTACATCCCACAGACGGACAGCCTTATCGTCGCCAAAACTGGCCAGCTGCAGTTTGTCCGCCGTGAAAAAGGTACGATGGACCGGCGCCGTGTGACCCTTGAACAGGCGCAGGATATTCCGGCTGGTGGTGTCGAACAGCTTGACGTGGCCCTCCTCGTCGCCGGCGGCCAGGAGTCGTCCATCCTGACGGAAAGTGGCTCCGTAGGCGGTCTTTTGGAATCGGGAGAGATTCTTGACAACCAGCTTGGTCACCAGGTTGTAGATCTGCACGCGGACCGAGCAGGTCAGCACAAAGTTCTCCGGATCGCTGGGGCTAAAGTCCACATAGTCGATGGTGTTGTGCTCCTTGAGGAGCTCCGGTTTCTGGGGATTCAAAGGGGAAACATTGAACTTGTTGATGACATTTTGATCTTTCTATGACAGAAAACTCACCGCCAATCGGTCCCAATAGAGTGTGTCCGGGGTTTCCACCTGCGCCCGCTGCTGAAACCGCCGTGCGTTCAGTGGGAGGAAGGTGCTCTGCATCCTGGCTGTGTGTTCCTAGTGATTCTGTTTTTCGCGCGCACGTGTTCCTCTGCAGAATCAGAAAAACTAACACGCATCAGTGTGACCAGAGTTCGGCAGTGCTGGACAGTATGGCTGGTTTCGAGCCAAGTCTGGTGGAAATAAATTATGGGAAATATAAAATTGTATTGCATTTTTTAAGAAAGCACCAAGCCAAATCATGAAAAGGTATAAATGGCTTAGGGACATTTTTGGCTGTGTGCCTGTTATATTTCAAATATTATACCAAACAATAAATATACTTTTTATACCTTTTTCAAATCGAGTTAAAAGTCTGGCTTTTTTCCCGCCAGATGGCAGTGCCACGGCCAGCCACTTATCGATATCGATAGACGTGGCAGGTGCGTGTGTGTTATCGTGCACAGGCAAACACATGTTTGCAAACAAACATATGCTTGCCGTATTTGTCCCCAAAAAAGAAAAGAACAACATTTACGAGTTTGCGATCCGCCGGAGCAGCGCGCTTTGGGGCAAAACCAGACCAGAGCCTGAGTGACAGCCCCTCGCACTGGGCACTAAAACATTAATAATAGAGGCTAGATCTCGTGTCCCGGCTTAATTGAAATTTATTTGTTGTGATGCCACCGCCACTGGGGGTTCCATAGTCGCATAGTCAGGGTTCCAGTCTCCACCATCTACCTCCTCCTCATACTCTGTTGAAATCTTAATTAACCGGAGGCAGAGGCATTGAGCATGCTAATATTAATTGGAGGCAATCAATGTGCCTGAGACCTCGTATCGAACGGAACGGAAGCAAGATCCCCGCGGAAGAATCACCCACATCGGAATTCCACATTCAGGCCATTTTCATATTCATATTCCATGGAGGAGGAACGCAACGAGAAGAAGGTGCTCTGCGAGAAGATCATAAGGGACATCAACGCGGTGTTCCTTAAGGATCAGGATCTGTGAGTCCACTATTAGAACAATATGAAATTATTCAGATTATGGATCAACCGAATTCTAGTTTGCCATTTAAACCGCCTCTAATTTCTGTATGTCTTATGCCATCCCCACCAGCGCCTCGTTCGAGATCATACCCAAGGAAACCAACTGCAACAAGTCGCCGGTGGTGCATGTTGAGCACAATCTTGGCCTGGAATCGTGGTGTGCCCAGCATGTCTACGATCACGCCCACCGCACCCTAATATCTCACCGTCGCCAGACGTCGGCTCAACAGCTCCGGACGCTCCAGCAACAGCAGCAGAGTGATGCCCTGGCCAAATACCTAAACGTGGCCCTTCTGATCAATCCGGATGTGACCACCTTCTGGCACATTCGCCGCCAGTTGGTGCAAAAGAACCGGCTGAGCATCAACAAGGAGCTCCAGTTCTCCGCCCTCGTGCTCTCCATCAAACCAAAGTCCAATGAGGCGTTCGCCTACCGTCGGTGGCTGTACTCCTTTCAAAGTAAGTGACTGGCAGAGATTACAGACTTCAGTTATGTTTACGCTTAACTATCCCTACTTGTTCAGGCGCTGATGCCATTGACTGGCCCAATGAGATTGGGATCTGCGAAAGGGCCGCTGATAGGTGCGCCAGTAACTACCATGCCTGGTCGCACCGTCAGTGGATACTTCAGAGCGGCCCCTGCCTACTCCAATCGGAGCTCTTGCGTACGGAGAAATTCATGCGCAAGCACATCAGTGATTACAGCTGCTACCATTACCGCCAGGTGCTACTGGGTCGCGCCTATGAGCTCAACTTTGCCCTGCCCAACGATTCCGGAGCCAGTGGCTCATATCCGTTGGCCAGTCTGCAACAATTGATGGCCCACTATGGTCTGGAATGCGAGCCCAAAGCCGAGGCTCTGTTGGAGCTGCTGCTGCCCCATGCGGACCTTAGTTCGATGAGCAGTCAAAAGCTGAGATCATTCCTCTACTGCTGCAATGTGGCCGCCAACGATATGCGGCTGTGTGCGGAGCAGCGGTTGATGTACGGACCGCGGGACTGCTTTGAGCTGCATCGCCGTGCGGCCCTCAAGTTCATCGTAGAGCAATGCGTTCGCTTACAGGTTGGGTTGGCCACGGGTCAACCATCTCCCTCGATGGCCGATGATCTGCGTTCGCATTTGGGTAACTTTGACTTCGAAAAGCATCCGTTTTTGAGTGCCGTGCGACGTGACGAATCCGCTCTAGGCGGAAAGCACCGTAGCTGGTGCAATCTCCACCTAAGCTTTGGCTATCCGGCGGACTAAACAGCGGGACCTGAAAACCTTGAAAAAAGCTCAAATCAATCTACCCCAATAGGATTACTTACTCTTAACCTCTTCCGTTTCTATCCGTTTTAAAATGCGACAAGTGCGTTTTGCAACTTAACATTTCATAAAATCGAATTGACCTTATTTGTAAACGAAAATATTGCCTTGAATTTGAAGAGTTGTTGCAAGCAGTATTTGTTATTTAAAAAGGCTTATTTTATTTAAGCACTTCAAAGAGTAACAGCTATTTACCGCAATAGAAAAAAAAAGAAATTTTTAAAGCGGATTTGGAAACGGAAAAGGTTTTCTATCTATATACTCTATATATGCGCCCCAAAGACAAGTTCAACTAGCCCGATATGACGACGGATCCCTACGGGTCCACCAATTGCATTTCGATATCTGTTAGCGTTAACTGTTTGATTCTGTTCTCGATCTGATCTGGCCAGATTTGTTAGCCTTATGTTCAGAAGTACTATGTAACCAATTACCGCCATGCCATGCACGTGTTTGTTGTTAGCCAATTTGCAGTTAGTTTTTAAATAAATCCAACCAATAGATGATGAAGGTGACAGCTTAATGGGTGGGTAAGTGTTTCCTACCGCCAGCACAGCGCAAAATCAGCTAATTTATATAAAATTGGAAAGAAATGCTCTAAATTAATGTGCGAAAAAAAAGCTTATATGCAGAGTGTATATCCATAATCAGTATCATAAAGAAACAATATTCATCCTAATCATATTCTATATTCTGATTTGCCAAATATTTGTGTGTTATGACTTGGAATTGCATTCTCAGTTTCAAGATATCGATTTGTTAATAGCAGGAAGGACCGGCTAAAATGCATCATATAGGGGTTTGTTTTTCCGAAGATGTTATATCGGATGGTATCGTTTTTGTGGCGGTGCAGGCAGCCATCCCCTTCCCAAATCGACCGGGGCTTTCGTTTTCGGGGGCTAGTGCGCATGTCGGGGATGCGAGATGCGAGATGCGAGATGCTGTCGAAGGCCCGAGATGACAACAATTTCAGCAGCGGACTCAGAATCGCCTGCCCGTAATCCCTGCCAGCTTTTCAGTGTGTTTCTGGAGCAGTTCGCGTGCGGCAGTGTTTTTGTGCAGTGTGTTGAGTGGCTAAAAGTGCTGGCTTGTTTAGAGATTTACAAACAATTTTTCGACCCCATTCAAAGTGCATATAAGTTCTCCGAAAACTTCAAAGTAATTAATGGGGCATATTTTTTTTGTGAACTAGTATTCTCATTGAGGATATGATATGATATATTTGTATGTACGTTAAGAGGTTTTTAAGAGAGCATTGTGGTTGGGTGTGCTGGTTCTGGTTAATGTGGGTGCTTTTCTGTGCTCTTTGTTTGGTTTTTAAATATTCATATACGTTTTTCATCGGTCCTTTTTGCATTTTTTATCTCCTACCTCCCTCCCTTCCATTCCTTTTCTACACCCCAAGGGGCGTGGGCCCAAAACTGCGCCTCAATCGGAGTTTATTTCTGGGGTGTGAGGGGATTAGGGTGTTTTGAGTGCTAGTGGCAAGTCTGTTTATGAGTTGATTATGAGCTGCAAAGTGTTGGGCCATTGTCTTTGGCCCTTGCTGCCTCCAAGGACCCCCGATCTCGTCCTGTCCTGGGATGTATGTACATATACCTACTCCGGAATATCTGACCCTGGGGCGCTACGCCTGCACATGTGTAGATAACTCGAAATGGACACACCTGATGATTTTGTGTCACTGTGTGGGTGTGTGTGTGTGTGCGTGCGAAATTCCTTCGGCCATGGGAAGTACACTCGCGGTTGCAATAATAGCAGCTCCTGCTAATTGGCATAAGCGGATTAGGCATAAGGTGAACTAGGCCATCAAATGAGGCCTTGGCTGACCATTGCAAACTTTGTCAAAGGGTTTAGCTTGAAATGCTAGATTATGTTGGAACTTGGTGCTATTTTATTTCCAAGTAAAAGGAAAAATAATTCTTAGAAGAACCATTTAATGTATTTTTATTACAAGAACTATGGTTTCGTGTGCATGTGAGTGTGCCAGAAAAACGTGAGTAACGGCAACGGAATGTATGTAGGGTATTCCCATGGCCCACAAAGGTATGCAATGCATGTACGCCCAGCGGATGTGTGCTAAAAGCATGTGTGTGTGTGTGTTTGTTTGCGTGGGTGACAGTTTTGCAGGTGCAGGTGACAACTCAATAAGCAACCGATAGATGGCGATACCATTCGATACCCTCAGGACATTTTTTTCATTTCCGGTTTCCATTTCACAGGCATCCCACACACACTGCATCGGAACTTTATTTGCATTGCAAGCAACGTATATGTACATTTATAAACAGATTTGGGGGGGCGTGGCAGTTCGGCGACGGACAATGAACCCGCCCACGCAGGAAGGACAATAATTTTCAGACTGGATTGGCATGGGATGTCAGTGGAGGAGCGGCATGAGTTCGCCTTTTTGGAGCGATGCCAGTTCTGGAATCGGAGCGGCCCTAGAATCCAAAACCACATAACTCCACGGCGATAAGTAACGATAAGTTGGCAACAATCGCCGGAAATGGGCAGTCTGCCAAATCTTCACGAGCTGGAGGAGGCGGAGCGCAAGCGGGAGAAGCGGCGGGAGTACGAGCTGTTGCTGGAGCAGCGGGCCCGCGACACCAGTCGGGAGCGAGAGCGACTCTCCGCTTTCGCCCAGCAGCGCAAGGTGAGTAACGATCCTCTGGATTTGGTTATCGATATCATAACGGTCGATAAAAGCGATTCAAAAGCTAACTATGCACATATACCTACATAACTTTTTCGGGCTTAGAAAATAAGTGTATAGTTATTGTTAAGTATTAGCAAAGCTTAATAAAGATTGGGTTCTTTTGTAATATAGAAACTTAGCTGAATTTTCTTGGTTACCGATTTGCATTTCTTTTGCCTAACAGAATTTCGAAGATCCTCATTATTATAATTACTAACGATATATTTGTGTAATCCCCCATAGCAATCTTCGTATAATGCTTATATAATGGCTGGTCTGGGGATTGGCGGAGGAGGATCCTTGAGCCTCAATGCAGCCGGGGTAACGGCCACCGGAAACGGAGAGCTTCCCAGTGGCAATGGAACGAATGCCGTTAAATCGCAGAACCAGGCAAACCAGGGTACAGGATCTGGGATGGCGACCAGTACGGGTGCTCCGGTGGTCACCAGTGGTTTTGCTTTGCTCGGAATGGGCAAAAAGTATGCCCCACACTCGCACCACCATCAGCATCAGCACCACCAGCACCATCAGCACCGCCATTCGCTGACCACCAGGCACAGAGTGCTCCGGACCCGCAGTTCTGGCGGAGCCCAGAACGTCTGGGACGAGCAGATGATGGAGGTGAGTGCATAATAATAACTGAGCAAAAATATGAACGTTTCATGGAAGAAATGGGGTATCAAGTTGTTGTTCAAAATATATATATTTTTTAATGTGTGGTAGCAAGGGCGCCTGTCACCTATTAATAGAATCAAAGTGCAACACGAGGTAATGGACATTGAGGCAGAGCTCTCTGTTGCCTTGGTCACTTGTCCATCTTGTGGCTCAATGCCGACAAAAGAGGTGGTCTCCGGCCAGTGGTTGGTGGTTACTGGTTAGTGGTTAGCAGTGGGTGGAGGGTGGCCAAATGTCAGAGCTCGCAAATGGATTATTTTTCCCAGTTGCACAACAAGTAATTAAGTCGAACCTGGCCCCCATTCCTCCCATGCAGCTGTAATTGAAGCCAATGGTTTCTGGCTGGCACGCTATTTTAATCCTGTTTTAATCCTTCCATCCTTGTTTATTCCGGGAATATGTGAATTCGCCTTGACGTCATTAAAAGCTGTATGGCGTTGTTGATTCCTGACAGATTTAAAACACTAGTAGAGACCAAAATACTTCGTTCTTCTCTCATATTCGAGAAGTAACGTTCTTGATATCAAGAGGAGTTTGTTTTTTACGAGATTAAGATGAATAGGTCGTGAAATAGGGATTTAAGTAGTCTTGATTTCGTTTTTTGAGTAGCAAAAAGACTCGTTTTTGAAAATCTCAAGACTGAATCGATGAGTTTGGCTCACCTGAAATCGATAAAACGGTTTTGAGAGCGGCATTTTTCCTAATCATATTTTCCATATTTTGTCTAATATTTCCAGCAGCACTTGGCAACATACTCGCCGTCGCCCATTTCAACCCGGTCACATCGCATAAATCCGGTATCATCGTACCAGGTGCAGGCTGCTCTGGCGGCCTCGCGTCGTCGGGAGTCGATAAACAGCTCCATTGGGGCCACCTCCATCCGGCGGCTGATAACGCTGAATAACCGGAATTGCCGGCACAAGGTGCCTGCCCATGTGAGGCAGAAGGTGTGGCGTCAGTTTAGCTGCTTGAGCCTGGCCCACGGACTGATGAACTGCGTCCTGCTGCCGGTGATAGCGCTGCAAGGCTCCAATGCGGTGTGGCACCATCGGGAGCAGTGGTTGCCCCTTGGTCCCGAGATTGGATCCCTTCTACTCAGTGCTCTATTCCTGGTGGCCGCTGGGATGAGCCTGCCCAGCATTCGACTGATAAAACGATATGGCTATGGGCCTCTTTTGGTGGCCAACTACATGGCGGTGGTTCTCTTCCTCCTTTCGCATCTGTACGCCTCCATTTACACCCTTCTGCCGGCCTATTTGCTGCTCGGCGTGACCATAAGCGGATCTGCTGGCTCCAAAGCGTCCCTGATCGTCCACTTTGGCGGGAAGCTGAGCTGCTCCTGTGAGTCCCAGCCGTCCCAGGCGGCGGTGGATGTTTTGCACGAAGAGCACAAGATGTTCTGCAATCGAGATCAAAAGGTGAGACGTCTGGCCAGGTGGTTCAGGGTTTCCCAGGACCTGGGACTCATCGGTGGAGCTCTGCTGGCCTCCATTTTGCTGGCCTGCAGTGATGGCGACTTTACGGGCGATTGCTCGGGGCTGGTCTACTATGGGAACGAGAGTTGGCCACCGCAACTGAGGGATTTCTACAATAGGAACGAGCATGGCGACAGGATCTGTGGTGCCGACATGTGTCCCCTGAGGGTGCAATCCCTGTTGGCAGGGGGATGGGCCAATGGCAGCTCCATACCCAGTTCCATCTATGCTGGATTCATCGAAAGCGAGCCCCGGGTGGCCGGACAATCGCTGCTGTGGCTGTATGTCCTCTTCGCGGTGATATCCTTGGTCCTTTCCCTGGTGATGATGGTGGACAAGGTCCAGGCCACGAGCTCATCGCGGCCGGAACGTTTGAGGGATGTGAGCATCACGGATACCCTGCTGTTTGCCGGTCCCTTGGCTTATTTTGTGGGTACGGAACAGGCCTACATGTTGGGCGACTTCCTGAGGGCCTTCGTCACCTGCTCTTTGGGCATCGGAATGATTGCCGGCGCCCTGATTGGCATGGGTCTTATGCAGCTCATCGTCTCCTGCACCCTGAGCATGCTCCTGAGGCACGTCAAGAGGATCGTCGTAATTTGTGAGTATTATTTGGGGGGTACAATTCCTGACGGAGTTCTGATTACCTGGTTGCCTTTTTCAGTGGCCGGCTTCTTCTTTCACTCCTGCCTGCTGCTGGCCCTGTCCAGTTGGAAGCCCTCGAGCGACGACAGTGCCCTGTTCTACGTAATTGCCGCCTCGTGGGGCGCCTGCAATGGGATGTGGGAGACCCTGCTGCTCTCACTGGTCACCCTCAACCATGCCAGTCATGTGACGGAGGTCCAGGCGCCCCTGCTGGCCCTTCGATTCCTGGGCTTGGGCCTGACCTTCGCCGGACACGGCTTCCTCTGCGAATCGATGAAGATCATTGCCCTGGTCGTGCTCCTGGTGATCAGTGTGCCGCCGTATGCCACCCTGGAGATCCGATTGGAGGCGCAGCGCAAGGCGACGCTCGTCAGCTTATGACGCAGCATCTTCAGCTAGTCCCGACGGATGCGACGGGATGTTGTGGCCCGGACGCATACCATGTGACATGTTCCGGACACGGATTCGGATGCGGACACACAGCCGCAGCCGGATCTCCTCCAATCGCAACCCGTCAGTATTGAACGAGAGACACATGTCAAACGACGCCAGATGCGGGATGCGGATGCGGATAGGGATACAGTATAGGTATAGACAGAGATATCGGGGATCTATAATCTTCAAACATGTTGGTAGAGTAACTAAAAAGATCCAGGAGCTTAAACTGATATATTCCAGTAACCGATAAACCCAATCGGTTCTTGACTTCTGTCCGCTGGCCTAGAGTATAAGACTAGTTCATAAGTTTGATCTATACCCATATATCTTCGATATGGGTGCATTCTCAATTCGTAGCATTTGCCAGTGCCAGTAATGTTGTTCCATGTCTATAACTTATCTATCAAATAGAAAGAAACAAAGAGAAGGGGGAGAAGAGCTTTACGAGCCACAATAAGCATGTAATGTAGCATGTAGAACGTTATATATGTACGCGTATGTATATCCGATCTGAGACGATACGATATCAATTGCTGTATCTAGATATGTATGTGTTTTGCCCTAAAAGGTTTTTCTGCCATCAGTGTGTATTTCATAAAGCATACACCTAAGCGTACTTCGTCTATTCAATTCGAAACTCCAATTTGCAATTCCCAAACCGAACCGATTCGATCCGGTCCAGAATTAATGTATGTTATGTATGTGTTTAATCGGTGTTATGTGCATTATGTAGGTTTCGAGACCCTCCAATTTCAACTACCTACAGGTAGACGGTATACCTATCCCGATTCAGATAAAGCCACTGCTAACTGTTATGATAACAAGGTGAAATCCTAAGGTCTAAGGTCTAAAAACAACAATGTTAACATTTTGAGAATTTTGAGAATAACCATTTTGTGACCGCTGACGATTTCATACATCGGGCTAAGTATTGCATGTATGTTGCTAGCCATATACTATATATACACATAGGCATAGTATATATTTTTTTCTTAGCAGCGGTTCCATCTGAATATTGAATAAAGCAAATCGCAAACGAGTTAAACCGGGGAGACGAGAAGTCAAAAACGATAGGATCGAGTTATACGTGTATTGGATGTGTATTGTATATTGTAGGTGTCCATCTCCAGATCTAATAAACAATCCAAAACAAGTGTATTGCTGGTTCGGTTCGTCTTGGGTTCTAATAAAGCAATTAAAATCGCTTGGGTCTTAGCTTGATTACAAACACCGGGTCTGGCAAGCTTTTGCAGCGGAGCACAGTGGGGCGAAAAAGACAAAAGGCTGCCTTAAATCAGAGGAGCCCGACGGCGACCAAGGTTTTTTTTTAATTAATTTTTAATTGTCTTTTTTTATAAAGAAAAATATAAATAAACTACTCATAGATTTCCAGTTTTCCCAATATTTTTTTATTTTAGCTTGGTTTTTGTGAAAAAAAATTGAAAATCGGTCGACTTTATTTATAGCTGCCTATAAACGCTTATTTCGACATGGAATATCTCGAATCTTTTTTAATATTTTTTCAGAAACACTACTTTTTGTCTAAAAATATTCAAGAATCATGATTTTTTTGGACTATTGAAAAAATAGTTACTTTGAAATCAAAAATATTGTTTTTTGGAATATGCTAGGAATTGGTTAGAACAATTTCAAACAAGTATAAAAATGTAATTTTTTCTTATTGGCAAACATTCTATTTTGAAGCGTGATCTTTGAACAAACTACTTTTTCCTTTTTTATTTGTATGCAGAATTTAGAAGTTTTCAAATTTTCAATTCAACAAAATTAAAAATCTTAAAATACAAATTTTGCCGAGGTTTCTGTTCTAGTCGCCCCATAGTGCGGAGCTTTTATTCTCGCCGATCGGAGCGAGAAAAGACTATATATTCTATGGGTATGTGTGCGAGCTTGTTAGCTTTATCAATTGGTGTACTTAGCTAAGTTATTTGCTTAGTTAGTGGCTTTTTGCGGGCCCAGACAGACGCGTTCGTTTGTCCCAATGGATAAAGATGAGGATAAACAGAAAGGGGACAAAGATTCCGCACCCCAGTCAACCTCCTCATCCGCTGATTGGAGCGACAAGCTAGCGGAGCTGGTCGCCTGGTTCGAGGGCAATCCCAATCTGCCCGAAAAGATCGGTAAGTAAGTCAGGAGAATCGAACCCAAATATGTTTCGCTTCGATTGTTAACCAGTCAAGTGCGAGACAGAATTAATGGGCGCGCAATAACCTGATATGGCTAACGATCCATTAACCTTGTAACTGGGCAGTAGCAAAGTTCAAGTGCAGCGAATAATCTCTATAGAGATATCTCGACGCTTCTTCCTTCCATTGGAACTATGGATTATATATATTCTTCCTCCTAATTGTCATTTCCTTTTCTTTGGTATATCTAAAGTGAAATTAATCTTTTCTGAAGTTTCTCCAAATTGAATATAATACTCATACAAATGCCTCGTCCTTTTAGAACCGATAGTTATGCTACGATTCCTTAAGTGCATGGCATTTAATGTAGAACGCACCAAATCTCTGGTGGAGCTCAACTATAGTATGCGGAATAAACATCCCCATCTGTTTATGGATCGCAACATGGAGGACGAGATGACCGCCAAGGGCCTGCGGGTATCGTAAGTAAAATATAAAGTATTTAATAGTAACCAACATATCTAATTATCTTTTACCTTTTAGGGACCTTTTGATACTACCCGGAATTACGCCCCAGGGAAATAAGCTGCTTTTCTTTCGCATGGCCGATCTAGATCCACATACGGTGGGTCTTGTACCTTTGGATGCCATTTATTGTTCATCTCTAAAAACCATATTTTAATAGCGAAATTCCGTGGAGGAGACTAAAATCTTCTTTATGATGAGTGATGCACGATTCACTATGCCGGATGTGGAGCGAGGGACTGAAAGCGGAAAGGATTATGTACTGGACGAAGCGGATATTGCGCAAGGCGATGTTCAAATCGTGGATATTGAGGGCTATACTATACGTCACCTGGCCTACGTTTCCATTTTTGTGCTGCGTATTTATATGAAGTTCCTTCAAGAGGCTTATCCTTCTCGTCTTCAGGCCATGCACGTAATCAATTGTCCCTCTTACCTGGACAGGCTCATCTCCATGATGTCCCCCTTCCTGAGGGAGGAGGTTCGGAATATGGTAACAGAGAACACATTATATTTCATTTGCATCTCTTATTGCAATTTATTTACAGATCAAGTACCATACAGAGGGACTGGAAAGCCTCTATAAGGAAGTGCCCAGGGACATGTTGCCGGAGGAGTATGGAGGCAAGGCTGGCTCTATAGCGGAACTCAAGGCCCGGGGCGTTCAGTCTATCAAGGACAAAACGTAAGTACAGAAAATATTAATATAGAAAATAATATCAAAGATTTTCTATTGATATCATTCAACTGCTTTTCTTGGAATAGTGCCTATTTGAGCGACGAGCGCTATTGGAAAGTGGCTTCCCAGAGCAAGAGCCGATGGTCCTGGTTCTAATCTTACGATATTCTGATAACTTCCACGTGATATAATTTCAAATGTGATCAAGAAGCGCGCCTTGCCAAATCGTTTAGCCGGGGAGGTCCCAAAATTATATACCTACAGGGTTTTTAAGCTCAGTTTGGCGATTCGAAAGAATGAAGCTGCACTCAATGAAGAATTTATAAATATTTTCATATTCTAGATTATTTTTCCATTTATGATAAGTCATTTTTTTCCTTTTGACAAATAAGGGGCTTGATATAAAAATAAATAATATTAATAAAATTTGATGAGGTTTTATTACAATCATAAAAAAAATTTTGATGGTCCCTCTTCTATATGTAAATAATTATTACTATTGTTACTTCATAAAAAAAGTGATTACATGTCATATGGAGAAAATTTCTTTTATTTGTTTGCTGAGCAATATTAGAAAAATTCGTATTTGGCAATATTATTTTGCCAGTAAAAAGAAACCTTTTGTTTTTTGTTCAAATTAAGCAAAAATTGAGTCGTGTTTGACAATGGAATTTGGATGCGGCGCACGACCAGGTGATTAGGCAGATCCAGAAGCTGGGGCGGAACGTATTTAGGCACTATTAAGCGTCGTCCAAACGACGGCCCAAAAGCAATTATGAATTACGTGTTTTTAATCGCAGACGCAATAGCATTGAATATTCAAAAACTAAATCGATGAGCGAAATCGATGGGAGTCGCACAGTCAGTTGTTCGCCTGTCCTCAAACACGGCGGATCAACGGTTCAAAAGCGATTTAAATAAGTGATTTTTGAAAGTGATTCGAAAGCGATTTCAGCGTCCGATTGGCGATAGAAACACCAGGTGGAATAGCGGCGAAGCAATCGATATCCAAGCCATAGCACCAATGAGCCGCATAAGTGGGAAAGAGACGGACGTGGGCGGTACGGAGGAACAACTGCAACGTGAAAGCATTGCGGCGGAACAGCTGCAACGGAAACGGGAGCGGGATCTCAAGGAGCTGCTCGTGTGGTTCCAGCAAAATGACAAGCTGCCCAAGGAGATTGGTAAGCTAAAGGCCCCCAAAGACCGTTTGGGAATCTCACATCCGTTCCACGGGTCAACACCACCCACTGCCCATCCAAAACCATCGCCAACCACCCACCTCCCTATAATGAGGTCGTTAGTAGGCCGACCCATTCGCCGCCTTACGTCACTGCATTGCAGTGTATATAAACAAGAGATATAAAACAGTCAAGCTTCCTAAATACAACTTTCCCAACAAAAAATCTAGTAATGTGTCTTTTACACTAAGTTTATAATCTACAAAAGTTGAAAGCAATATTTAGAAAAGCGTACCCTTTATGAGAACCATCAAAAAATATACCATTAATTTAATTTCTTAAATTAGTTTTTCTTGAAAAATGTTTGATTCGACCTATGGAACTTTGGCTGCATTTATGATTAATATTTATTATTATTATTTTTAGAGCCCCTGTTGCTCCGGCGCTTCTACCAGTGCATGTTTGGGGACTTGGCGGAAACCCAGAATCTCATCGAGGTGAACTACGCCCTGCGCAACAAGCATCCGCATCTGTTTATCAAGAGGGATCCTCTAGACGCGGACAGCAAGCGCACCTTTGATTATGCGTGAGTCCTTGTGGGCAGGAGAATTTATAGGGCTTGTCCCAGTTTTTTTTTCGAATTCTTAAAGTTTTTTGAGATTCTAGCTTTTTTAATATCAAATTTTCGTTTTTCCATCTCTGTACAGCAGATCTTTTCTCAATTTTAGAAATAGTTTTCCCTTTAAATTTCTAACCGTCCAAGATTTTTCAGTAATATTCTACCGCTCCCGGGTATAACGCCGGACAAATGCAAGGTATCCCTATACTGTTTCCGGGAATTTGAGGCCACCAAGGTGAGTAATTCTTCCACTGTAGGATAGAGGCCTGCACTCCAGACAAATCTTATCCGCAGATGCACCATACAGAGGACACACGCGCATTCTTCATGGTCAGCGATTGTCGTTTTGTGATGCCGGACGATGCTAAAAATCCGGATGTTTTATCCGAAGGAGAGGTGCAGATTTTCGACATGAAGGGCACTACTATGCGGCACATTTCGCGACTAACGATCAGCACTCTACGCGCCTACATCAAGTTCCTCCAGCTGGCTTATCCCGTGCGCCTGCGCGCCATCCACATGATCAACTGTCCATCTTACTTGGATCGAATCGTCAGTGTGGTGAAGCCCTTCATCAGCGAAGAGGTTTTCAAACTGGTGGGTTTTTATAGGTATATAATCGTAGACATGGAAAATAATAAAGTTCCAATTCTTTCTATTCTCTCAGACGTGTTTTTATTTTTATTTCGAATTAATCCCTATTAAATTAATTTAAAAATGAATAAAATAATATATTTTGTATAAAGACCTCACCATTTTGTAATATTTTTCAGATCCGCTTTCACACAGTGAGCATTGAAACTTTGTATGAATTTGTGCCGCGGGAGATGCTGCCAGAAGAATATGGCGGAAATGCTGGATCCTTGGAAACACTGCGGACCCAGACCCAAAAGAGCTTGGTTGACCATCGGTAGGCTTCCGATCTGCATGTCAGGGCCAATTAGTAACGCCCCATTGATTTTTTATAGCGACTATCTAATGGACCCCGATCACTGGGTGGTGGAGAAGCCGGAGAAGCGTAACAGCAACTCCTGGAGATTTTTCAAGTGATTGACAGGGCATAATGCCCTGGTATTTTTTTTCTTATGGGGGTGAATTAGAAATCTTTTCCAACCAAAGGCGGTTGAATTTCGTATTGATGTACGGTTTAAATTCAACCCAATGTGGTGAAAGAGATTTCTGCAGCACTCCAGATAGACTTAATATATGTGCCTGTGTACGTAAATGGTTCCTGCGGCATTTTGTCTCTTAAATAAAGCTCTTTTTGTAATTACTTAGGCTAATTTGTATGTTAAAATTGGTCAAGGAAATTGAAAAAAATAAACTTGCTATCTCCTATCTATATTTTTTATTTTCGACCTAAAGTAGCACAAACAAGTATTTTGGAAGAACATTTAAGGGTTTTATTACGTCCCAAATGGTATTAATAGGATCGTAATATATTTATTGATTTGTAGCCATAAAATATTTTCAATTAAAAATTCAGCTACTTTTCACGAAAATGCCGTTTTCGCACTCTCAAATCATGACACCCAACGGCAGTGGAAACACTTTAAACGAGGAACTATCGAAATACGGTCATCGTTATCGCAACACATTATTGGTGGCATTATTTATTTTTTGCGGATTTAATTTAATTTTAGTAACTTACTAGTTAGTTGGTTAAGTTGAGCAGCGCGCACAGCAGATTTCAGCCATGGAGCGTCCACAGAAGATGCCCAAGGTGGCCAAGGTGAGTGTGGATGTGGAGATCGTGCCGAACCCACCAATCCAACTAATCCAATCCAAAATTTCACCAGGTGAAGAACAAGGCACCGGCGGAGGTGCAGATTACGGCGGAGCAGTTGCTCCGCGAGGCCAAGGAGCGGGACTTGGAGATCCTGCCACCGCCGCCGAAGCAGAAGATTTCCGATCCCGCCGAGTTGGCCGACTACCAGCAGCGGAAGCGCAAGACCTTCGAGGACAATCTCCGCAAGAACCGCATGGTGGTCAGCCATTGGATTAAGTACGCCCAGTGGGAGGAGCAACAGCAGGAGATACAGAGGGCACGCTCCATTTGGGAGCGAGCGCTGGACAATGAGCACCGAAACGTTACCCTCTGGCTGAAGTACGCCGAGATGGAGATGAAGAACAAGCAGGTCAACCATGCCCGTAATCTGTGGGACCGGGCTGTGACGATTATGCCGCGGGTCAATCAGTTTTGGTACAAGTACACCTACATGGAGGAGATGCTGGAGAACGTGGCCGGGGCGCGTCAAGTGTTCGAGCGATGGATGGAGTGGCAGCCGGAGGAGCAGGCGTGGCAAACCTACGTCAACTTCGAGCTGCGCTACAAGGAGATTGACCGGGCACGCGAGGTGTACGAGCGGTTTGTCTATGTGCACCCGGACGTGAAGAACTGGATAAAGTTCGCCCGCTTCGAGGAGTCGCACGGGTTTATCCATGGCTCGCGGCGAGTCTTTGAGCGGGCCGTAGAGTTCTTCGGGGACGAGTATATCGAGGAACGGCTGTTCATCGCCTTCGCCCGTTTCGAGGAAGGTCAAAAGGAGCACGACAGGGCGCGCATCATCTACAAGTACGCGCTGGACCACCTACCCAAGGAACGCACACAGGAGCTGTTCAAGGCCTACACGATACACGAGAAAAAGTACGGTGATAGGGCGGGAATCGAGGATGTTATCGTGTCCAAGCGCAAGTACCAGTACGAGCAGGAGGTGGCCGCCAACCCCACAAACTACGATGCCTGGTTCGATTACCTGCGTTTGATTGAAGCGGAGGGCGAGCGGGATCAGATCCGCGAGACCTACGAGCGTGCCATCTCCAATGTGCCGCCCGCCAATGAGAAGAACTTCTGGCGGCGCTACATCTACCTGTGGATAAACTATGCTCTGTACGAGGAACTTGAGGCGGAGGATGCGGAACGCACGCGACAGATCTACAAGACCTGCTTGGAGCTGATACCCCATAAGCAGTTCACCTTCAGCAAGCTGTGGCTCCTCTACGCCCAGTTCGAGATCCGCTGCAAGGAGCTTCAGCGTGCACGCAAAGCCCTGGGTCTGGCCATCGGCATGTGTCCCAGGGATAAGCTCTTCAGGGGTTACATTGATCTGGAGATACAGCTGCGCGAGTTTGAGCGCTGTCGCCTGCTTTACGAGAAGTTTCTGGAGTTTGGTCCGGAGAACTGCGTCACCTGGATGAAATTCGCCGAGCTGGAGAATCTTCTGGGCGACACGGAGCGGGCGAGGGCCATTTTCGAGCTGGCGGTGCAGCAGTCGCGCCTTGACATGCCGGAGCTCCTGTGGAAAGCGTACATCGACTTCGAAGTGGCCCTGGGCGAAACTGAGCTGGCCAGGCAACTGTACGAGCGACTCCTCGAGCGCACGCAGCATGTTAAGGTGTGGATGTCGTTTGCCAAGTTCGAGATGGGCCTCAGCCACGGCGACAGTGGGCAGGACGCGGAGCTAAACGTGCGGTTGGCCAGGAGAATATACGAGCGGGCCAACGAAATGCTGCGCCAGCTGGGCGACAAAGAATCACGGGTCCTGCTTTTGGAGGCTTGGCGCGACTTTGAACGCGACGCCTCTGACTCGCTGGCGCTGCAAAAGGTAATGGACAAGATGCCTCGGCGCATCAAGAAGCGACAGAAGATCGTCTCGGACGATGGCGTCGAAGAGGGATGGGAGGAGGTCTTCGATTACATCTTCCCCGAGGACGAGATGGCGCGGCCAAATCTCAAGCTGCTGGCCGCCGCCAAGATGTGGAAGAAGCATAAAGACGTCACGGAGGACGAACCGCCAGTTCCAGCCATTGCAGCCGAACAAGAGCCTGCAGCAGATCCTGCTCCAGCGGAAACGACGGCTGAATGTGACTGACCGGAAGCAAGTTATTCCATTTCCATTAAAGTCTTTCACTTTTGAACAAAGCAAACCATCATTTTTTGAGGACTTTTCTTTTTTGCACCAACACCGCAGAAATTTACTTTATGTTTGCCCATGCAAGGAGAAACCAATTAAATAAAACACCATTTTGACATTTTTAATGTGCCTTTAACTTGTTTAACTTTTTCAACACTGCAATAAGTATATAGAATTCTTTAAAGAACGTTGTTCAATTCAAACGTTATTATCAATTCTACGCTTCTAATATATTTAAAGAACGTTAGTTCTACTTTTAACTTTCATTAACTGTCAAAAATAATATAATTTTTAAAGGGTCCGAAAACCCCTACATACATGTAAAAGCTTGGAACTTATCCATCTTATTTGGCCCGGAGCAACAAAGTGAATGCGGAGTAGGTAAACCTAATGACCTGAAATCAAGTTGAAATATGTAGTTGTACAAATTAAAGGGTACTTAGGGATATAAAGCCACACCTGCTCGAAGGTCTCCATCGAGAGAGGTATATAGTTGCCTGCAAAGATGAGTGAAGGTCTTTGGGTTCTGGCGATTGTAAAGATCAACTCGCGCTTGAACTTGGGCAGCTGGTCCACCCAGTTGCATGCGTAGAAGGCATCACACAGCGCCTCGTTCTGCGTCCTCATCCTCTCCCCAAAAAAGCAGATGACAAACACCTCCAAAGTCACGGCCGTGAAGAAGACAATCGAGATGATCATGGCGGTCAGGTCGTTGTCATCCGCCATGTAAAGGAAATGCATGGCCACGGTGCACTGGACAGCGGCGGAGCAGGCGAACTGGGCCATGCAGGGCACCGAAAGAATGCGCTGGATAATCTTCCTCAGCTGATGGACCCGCATCAGGTCACGGATGCACTCGATCAGCTCCTCGTAGACCTCCTCCCGCCAGGAATCGTCATCGCCCGTCAGATCCTCCGCCCTAAAGCCAATCCTACGCACCCTCAGCTCCAAGGCACGCATGTGACCCGTGAGTAGGCAGAGAAACGCAGGCGGATAGGAGTCACTGGCACAGTTCTGGACGGCCTGCACAACCAGTCCGAAGAGCTGGTACAGATTGATGAACACATAGTTCCTGGTGGAGTGCATCCACTCCACACCGAACCAGGCCGGATACAGGAGTTCCCGATCCGGACGAATGACCAACCGGAAGCAACTTAAAGCGGTGCCAAACACAAAGATCCGGGCAAAGACGCGAAAGCTGCCTCGGGCGATGTCCACTTCCCTTCTTAAAGCTCGCAGCTCTCCGGGATCTCCTATTCGCCTGGCCCGAGCATCCATGAGCCTCAGGAGCGAGCGAATCTCGTATAGATGTGACTTCACCAAATATACATTAGCAAACTTTAAATTGGCCACAATATCTGTGATCGTAATGGTCAGGTTCTCGCACATTCCGGCCATGTTGGTGGTGAACAACAGCCTGGCCAACAGGCTACAGGGAAAAAGGAAGGTTACTACCAAATTGATCGCTACGGCGTACACGCGGTAAGCTAAGCGGGAAATCCCCGGTGGACACATCAGGCCAGTGAGCTCCCAAACGCGCCAGTGGTAATATACAGCACCATGGGTGTCCAGTTGGGGTTCCTCCTTCATTGCCATGATCCAGCTCACTTTTGGGACGACCCTAGGTGTCCTTTACCATTTATACTCCTGCGATTACCTGTGATTGCGCTATTACATGGCTTGTTGGCCCAACTTTTCGGTTAAGTGGCTGGGAAAAATAACCATGGGCCCACGTAATGATGCCCCATAAAAAGTTTTAGCTGAGCCATTTGTTTTTGTTGGAAATCTTTCTTTATTCTGCAGTATTCTTCATTCTTGTGGGGATATGGGAGGTAGGGAGTGTTTATATGGTATCGACTAACGGTCAGGACCAAAAGCACCTGACAAGCAAGGTCAAACTGGCGTATTTTTACATATTTTTACTTAATAATCCCTATTGACAATTTTGTTATTTAGCTACCTGAGGGTCAAGATTTTCCTCGTTGATTACATGAACTATACTGTAAAATCCATTAAGGTTTAACCGTGTTAAATACTAGGTTGAGCCTTAACCAGAGGTTTATAAACTGTGCCTTAGAATTACTAGTTACTCTTCTGACCCAAAGGTCAGTTAAGTTATTGCTAATTGATTGCTGTTAACTGATTGGTTGGTGCTATATTAATGGCTTTAAATGAGATTAAAGTGAGCGTAAAGCAATGACATTCTGTCTTTCATTTTTGTGAGTACTTGCACGGGGCACTGACTACTGTTCTACGCTGTACGTGTGCCGGCAGAGGTTGAGCAATACATTTTTTTTCTATGGCCTCTTGATCGGACGCTGCTGACCGCTGACGTAAATATGTGCTCGAAAAATCCTTCCTGGTTGATCTCTTAATCCCAAAACCAGAAAATGAATACTAAGGATATGCTGTTAACTGGTTTATAAATTTGTGCTATTTTAAAGTTTATACTATGGGCCCTACAGTTACTTCCTTTTTCTCTTTGAGGTCACTTGTCAGGTGGATCTAGGTCCTCAAGATCTAGGCATTATAATTCTACTACAGGTGGGGAGCAAGGGAAAGTAAGGTCTGGGTCAAGGGGCAGGGAAAAAGAACACAAAAACAAATCCGTAGATGCACACCATCGAGAACACGTTCACAGAGTGATCTTAACTTGTAGTTTTTAAGAATAAATTTAAAAATACAATCAAGCGGTGTAATCCAAGGCTTACAGAGGGATTTTTGCCCGGGTGCTTGGAGTCCGGTCTCTCCGATCCAATATTGTTGCGTCTCAAGCACCCGGGCAGCGAATATGAAATATTAATTATATATATCTCAATATATATGCATATATATATTTGTAGCTAATAATATATTATAATATTGTGTTCAAATAATTGATATTGCTGCATCTTAAAATTGAAGAAAAGATTTTTTTCCGACTAGGGAAACTGTTACGTTACGGTTACAATTCAATACTCTACTTTACGTTACGGTCACAATTAACAATCATCGTTAGACAAGTGAATCGTTATGCGTTATTCATTATCATTATCATAATCTTTATCATTAGAACTTCTCCCGCACAATCATCGCTGGGATCATATTGTATTTTGTTTCAATATTATCATTATTAAGCTCAGTTCTCAGTCGCAAAAGCAACGTGTGACAAAAGCACCTCCTCGCGAGGAGGGTGTGTATAGTATATCCGATCCGATATCGAGTCGGGGTCTTGAGTTTTATACGTCTTCAATTGTCAGACTCTTGCTCTTGCTCGCTTTTCTTTGTTTTTCTTTAGATTTAGATTTAGTTTTAGGTTTAAATTGCTGCATTTGTTTTACGTTTTAGTTATAGTTTTTAGTTTCTGTTCTGTGAGTCGACCTGATCTTGATTCGGTTCGATTCGATTTGATTCGGTATTCGGTTTCGGTTGCATTGGCTGCCTAGGGATTTGGAATTGTTGCATCTTTAGCGCCTTCGGCCTGAGGGGCGGCGCTCTGATTTGAAATTGCGTTTTTGTCTTTGTCTGACTTGGCATCCTGCAAAAGAAATACGAGTATTGCCAACGGTTTCTTTTTTTTTTTAAAGTGTGTAAATAGAGCTCTCAGGTCGGTTCTCGTTTTCGAATCGAACGAATTTTGCGAATTTTTCCAAGCGATTTTCAAGGAAACTTGCAAAATTTCATTAATAAACTTAAATGTAGTATAAATAGTTTACCTTCTCAAAGTCAAATTTTCAATTTCTCAGTTACAATTTCGTATGAGTTTAAGAAGTTGGACTATGAACCATTAAATTGGCATTTCAAATGCCAGCCAAAAGTGAAAATGAATACAGTACTAGGTTTGAATACTGAGGCTCGTTTAATAGATAGGTATTTATAAATCAAGTAAGGATATTAAGTTATTAAGAGTGCATTAGACGATGCAACTACGACTGCCACTTGAAAAGCAACATATGAATATACGTTTTTACAAGTTCAATACAAAGTGGCAATCATGTATGCAAGATTTTGTCTACATAAATTGTGTTAAATATTATAATTGATTAAGATTGCAGTTCTAAATACTTTGAAAAAATACTTTTGTTTACCTATACATATGTACAAATGCCAAAAAGATATTTCTCTTTTGCGGATTTATATTGGTGCCAAGGGAACCGAAGGTGAAACTCGGTGTGATCGGAACCTGCTGCTCAAAGACTCCAGGTTCACGGGAGGCAGTGCAGCAGGTTGCGGCTCACTTTCTCGCTCGCCCTGCTTGCCTGTCCTCTCATTTCATCCTACCTGGCAAACGCAACAAAGGGGGTCGGGTTGGGGGTTACGATGGATCGAATCAGGGTTTCAAATCGATTCCAGTTCGAACCGCAACGAAACTGTACCCGGAATCGATGTGCAACCCTGGGGAGATACTTTAAGATGGGACACCTGTTCTGTTCTGGGGGAAAGAGGGGTCTCTGTGAATGCACTTTATGCTCACCTTGGCCTTGACGCTGGCTGCCTCCTGCTTGAGATACTCCTCCCGTGCCGCCTCGTAGAGACCCACAAACTTGTCGCGCTGGCCCTTGTATTGGGCAAAGAGTTCGTCGTCCTTGTGGCCCTTCAACCGATTCTCGATGTCCACCTTCTTGTCGTGCTCGGTGCGTATCTCGTCGGTGACCCAAGGCTTGTCGATGGGATACTGATTGATCAGGTTCTTTAACGTTTTAATGCTGCTCTTCCCCTTCACCGCCTGCTTGATCAGCTTAGGGGGGATGGGCTTTGTGATCCGGCCGCCGTTCATGTTCATAGGTCCGCCGAAGGGTCCAACCGGGGGCATGCCGCGCGGCGGCATCCGTGGACCCATCATGTGCATGGGCGGCGGGCCGCCCATCATAGGACCTGGACCTGGACCAGGTCCATTGCGCCGCAGGAAGTGCGGTGGTGGCGGCGGCGGTGGTCCACCCATGGGTCCCATGGGCCCAGGGCCACGCATCCCAGGCATCGGCGGCTGGAAAGGCATCTGCGGGTAAGGTCCTCCGGGACCCATGGGGCCAGGTCCACGTGGTCCTCCGGGGCCCATGGGACCCATTGGTGGACCCATCATGTGGCGTCCCGGCGGACGGTTCGGCGGGGGTCCACGCTGGAATCCATTGAAGCCGCGATTCAGGTTGGGATTGTTTCCCGGAAAGCGCTGCCAGTCGCCTCCGGCTCCGTTCATTGGGTTGTTGAAGGGCTGCTGCTGGTTCATCTGCTTGTTGCTCGGGCTGTTCATCTTGCCCTGCTGTTGGTTCGGATTGGTTGATTGTTTGATCCCCTTCATGGGCTTTTTCTTTAGGCCGTCCCCTTGATTTTGTTTATTTCCCGGTGCCGGACTGTTGAAGTCGATGTACAGGGGATCGCTGGGCATCTGGCTGGAGGAGAACATCATCTGGTTGTTGCCATTGCCGTTGTTCCCATTCCCATTTCCGTTGCCACCTGGTCCTCCGGAGGCATTGTTGCCCGGACGGAAGGGCTTCCGGTATGGAGCTGCAGCTGCCCGGGGATTTTGGTTACTGTTGTTCATATTGTTGTTCTGGTTGTTGCGCTGCTGCTGCGGATGCGGGTTTTGCTGCTGCTGGTACTGCGGCTGCTGCATTTGCTGCGGGTACTGCTGCGCCTGCAGCCGGTTAGGCTGGAATTGGTTCTTGGACACCATTGCGGGGAGCTGACCACAGTTCGACTGAAGAGATCAGGATTCAAGGAAAGAGACGACACACATACAGCAAACGACTCTAAAAAATACACGCTTATTTTGTTAAAAAAAATCTATAGAAAAAACCGATTCCAGTGCCGTCAGGCCGATAACATTACAGTTGCAACAATCGCTGGCGATGGTATCGATTGTTTGTCCACTTTAAAAAAAAATTTTGAATGTAAAAAAGTATCAAGAAAATGAATATTCCGCTAATATTTAAAACTAAAAATTAATATTTAAATAAAAATTAAACACAACACTTTTATTCAGCTCACTTGACAAAGTTACAGCAAGTTTTAGGTTTGTGTAAGTCCTGAATCCTTTTTATTTTACTAAATAAGCCGTATTCTACTAATAGGCATTTACTATGGCTTCTATAAAAACAATTAAATATTTGTTTAACATCCGACTTACAACCTGTTTCCACTTTGCAACCAGTCGGTGTCGCGCGCACTGTTATCGATAAACCTGATATCGGAGCTGCACGTGTGATTTCAATGTTTATTTTTTGAACGGAATAAATATTAATATTATTACTCCGTTAATAATATTAGATCGGTTAAATAGACATGGGCAAGAAGGTGCACAATGCCAAGGCGCGGCAGAATCCGCAAACGATTGTAGACAACTCGGCCGTGAAGAAGGTGGGGTATCCCAAATTCCAAAAATCTCGAACCCGCTTTTCTTATCCAACCAATCTTCTACAGATCCAGATCGATGTGGATGCAGTGGCCGGTGGAAGCCAGGCGGGCTACGATGAGGCCAACGCCCTGGTACTGCCCTCAGAGAAGCGGGCCACCAAAATCAAGGTGGACAAGGTGCAACACGTAAAGATCCTTACCAAGAAGCAGCGTAAGCACCTCCAGGCGATTGTGGACAAAAAGAAGAAGAAGGAAGGCGTAGGTTTCTCCCACTGACTGGCAATTGACTCTTACTTAAGCCAAATCCATTAAATTTCAGCGCGCCCAGCTCTTGGGTGACCTGGCGGCCGTGCAAATCCCGGAGGCAGAGCTGCAGCAGTACACTTCTATCAGCCAGGTACAAACGGTGGGCCTCAAGCGTCTGCCCACCCTGGATGAGTATCTGGCCAAGAAAAAAGAGCGGCAGGCGCAAGCCCTGGCCGAAAAGAGCTCGGGCTCGGGGCTCCGCGTGAATGCTATTAAGGGCTCCAAGCGCAAGCTGCTTGCCGAAGAGGAGGAGGAACTTGAGGCTAAGCGCAAGAATCCGAATGTGATTAGTTTGGAGGAAGATGACGAGGACACCTCTGAGGGCGAGGATGAGACGCCTGCAGCTTCACCCGCTCCTGCTGCCATACCCACTCCGGTCGTTGCTGTTCAACCGAAAATCGAAGTTAAACCGCCCAAGGAAAAGCGAAAACCGGAGCCTGCTCCACCTGCCTGCATCCACCAGACCGTTTACGTGCCCGTACATCGTTCCACGGAAGTGCAGGAGGCTCGCCTTCGTCTGCCCATCCTCGCGGAGGAGCAGCAGGTGATGGAGACCATCAACGAAAATCCCATTGTGATCGTGGCCGGCGAGACGGGCTCCGGGAAGACCACCCAGCTGCCGCAGTTCCTATACGAGGCGGGCTACGCCCAGCACAAGATGATCGGAGTGACGGAGCCGCGGCGAGTGGCTGCCATTGCCATGTCCAAGCGTGTGGCCCACGAGATGAACCTGCCGGAGAGCGAGGTGTCCTATCTCATTCGCTTCGAGGGAAACGTGACTCCTGCCACGCGCATCAAATTCATGACCGACGGTGTGCTGCTCAAGGAGATCGAAACGGACTTTCTGCTCAGCAAATACTCGGTGATCATCCTGGACGAGGCGCACGAGCGAAGCGTTTACACTGACATCCTGGTGGGGCTGCTCTCGAGAATCGTTCCCCTGCGCCACAAACGTGGCCAGCCGCTGAAGCTGATCATTATGTCCGCCACATTGCGGGTAACCGATTTCACGGAGAATACACGATTGTTCAAGATACCACCACCGTTGCTGAAAGTGGAGGCGCGTCAATTTCCGGTGACCATTCACTTCCAGAAGCGCACACCCGATGACTACGTTGCGGAGGCCTATCGCAAGACCCTGAAGATTCACAATCAGCTGCCGGAAGGTGGCATCCTGATCTTTGTCACGGGACAGCAAGAGGTTAACCAACTGGTGCGCAAGCTGCGACGCACGTTTCCATATCATCCGCCAGCTAAGGATGTGGCGGAAGTGGATAAAGTGTCGCAGGAAGCAAAGGAGGAAACAAAGGATGATGCTGCAGATACTGTGGAGGATCCTAAGGAGCTGGAGTTCGACATGAAACGAGTTATACGCAACATCCGCAAGTCCAAAAAGAAGTTCCTAGCCCAGATCGCTTTACCCAAAATCAACCTGGACGACTATAAGCTGCCAGGCGATGACACAGAGGCGGACATGCACGAGCAGGAGGATGATGCGGATAACGAGCGGGAGGGATTAGAGGAAGACCAAGAAGACGACGATGAACTGGGCTTGGAAGGAGAGTCGGGAATGGCCTCCGGGCAGAGGCATCCCCTCTGGGTTCTACCCCTCTACTCGCTGCTCTCCTCGGAGAAGCAGAACCGCATCTTCCAGCCCGTTCCCGAGGGCTGTCGGCTGTGCGTCGTCAGCACCAATGTGGCAGAGACCTCACTCACCATTCCACACATTAAGTATGTGGTGGACTGTGGTCGCCAGAAGACCCGCCTCTACGACAAACTGACCGGAGTGAGTGCCTTTGTGGTAACCTATACGTCCAAGGCTTCGGCGGATCAGCGGGCTGGACGAGCGGGTCGCATCAGTGCCGGCCATTGCTATCGTCTCTACTCGAGTGCCGTGTACAACGACTGCTTCGAGGACTTCTCCCAGCCGGATATCCAGAAAAAGCCAGTCGAGGATTTAATGCTGCAGATGCGCTGCATGGGCATCGATCGCGTGGTGCACTTTCCCTTCCCCTCACCACCAGATCAGGTGCAGCTGCAGGCCGCCGAACAACGGTTGACTGTGCTGGGTGCCCTGGAGGCCACCAAATCAGAGAAGACAGATTTACCGCCAGCCGTCACCCGTTTGGGCCAGGTGATCTCCCGCTTCCCTGTGGCGCCGCGCTTTGGCAAGATGCTGGCCCTGTCCCACCAGCAAAACCTGCTGCCCTACACCGTCTGCCTGGTGGCTGCTCTCTCTGTCCAGGAGGTACTTATTGAAACGGGGGTACAAAGGGACGAGGATGTGGCCCCTGGCGCGAATCGCTTCCACCGTAAACGCCAAAGCTGGGCGGCAAGCGGGAATTACCAGCTCCTCGGAGATCCCATGGTCTTATTAAGGGCCGTCGGAGCAGCGGAGTATGCAGGATCACAGGGCCGCTTGTCAGAGTTCTGTGCCACAAATGGATTGAGACAAAAGGCGATGAGCGAGGTGCGAAAGTTGCGCGTCCAGTTGACTAACGAGATCAACCTGAATGTAAGTGACGTCGAACTTGGGGTGGACCCCGAACTGAAGCCTCCCACAGATGCTCAGGCGCGGTTCCTTCGGCAAATTCTACTGGCCGGCATGGGTGACAGGGTGGCTAGAAAGGTCCCCCTGGCCGACATCGCCGACAAGGAGGAGCGCCGGCGACTGAAGTACGCCTACCACTGTGCCGATATGGAGGAGCCAGCCTTCCTTCACGTTTCTTCCGTGTTGCGCCAAAAGACACCCGAGTGGGTTGTCTACCAGGAGGTATACGAGCTGCAGAACGGGGACTCCACCAAGATGTTCATCCGTGGGATCACCGCCATTGAGCCAGAGTGGTTGCTTCTATACGTTCCTTTGCTTTGCAATATACGTGAGGTACGCGAGGATCCTGCTCCCAGATTCGATGAGGCCTCGGGCAAGATATACTGTCATGTGGACGCCACGTTTGGCAAGTCAAGCTGGGAGCTCCCACTCGGCGAGGTGGAGATGCCGCTTAGCGAGAAGGCCTGCTGGTATGTGTCTAGGAGATTGGTTTTGGTATCTATACGAGTTAATTTAATGTCGTTGCTTTTCCAGTTACTTCGGAATGTTTCTGTTAGACGGCCAAGTTTGCTCCGCGCTAGCACCCTTCCGTGGCAAACTCAAGTCCACTCCCGCTTCTGTGATCAAGAGCTGGTCCAGCATGAACGACAAGGTGCTGCGCTTCAAGCGAGCTCTCATCACAAAGCAGATCCACAGCCGGCAGGCGCTGCTGGACCAGTGGACAAGCGATCCTCACTGTGAGTTTATCTATATATTGTCATAACCTTCTCTGATTGCATATCAACCTTCCCCCCTTAGTCCTTTTGGAGGAGTACCAGAATCTGCTCTACGACGTGGCGCTCAGCGAACTGACGCCTCTGTGGCCACCGGTGGACAAGAAGGAACCAGAAAGCCAGTCAAAAAGCTAGTTGAAGTCGGGTTTTTTGTATAACAAGTTTCATTTATTATTTATTTAATTGATATATATTTATATAATTTTTTATGTATAATATAAATATGAAATTTGTTTTAAATGGAACTAAAAAAAATGGAGTGGAGTGAGGGGGAATAAAAATGTTTTTGTTAACAGCTAAGTTTCGATAAATGTTTAATACAATCCATATATGTACATAGAAATAATCAATATTCATTGTATTTTGTATTTTTTGTTTGTTGTCTGTTGGTTTTTCTCTCCTGGTAATTAATTGTAAGTTAATCCTTCTGCTGGTGGTAAGAAATTAGCATTTACATTTGAGTTAATGAGAGATTTGGCTAATTGGGCATGTGGCTATATAGTGGGTATATGCCTCGGTTATATACGCATCGAACGAACGGAACGGAACGATCGGATTCGGATTGGCCGACAAACTGTAGCTTTGTTCGCTTAGCTTCGCTCCTCCCTATATGTACATGTAAATCGCTAGTTGGGATTGGGATTAGGACTCCGTTTGCTGCAGCTCCTCCTCCCCAGGCTATTGGCTGGGACTCCTCGAATGTCATCCTCCATACGTCTACAAATGTGTGTGTAGAAAAAATCAGTCTAATATATTAAGGCAACGTGAGAGCTTTACATGTCGTCATTCCACTTCATCCTCGTCCACATCCTTATCCTCATCCTCTTAATCATCTAGGAATTGTGTGTAATATCTTAGTTTTGTAACTTGAATCCTGTCCGAAGTTCGCTTATCGCTTAGGCTAATTTTATGCGGGATTTTTGTATAATTTGTGTACTCTTTAACAATCAATTTTGGTATGTTTTGTGTCTGTGTGTGTGGTGTGTGGTGTGTGGGTCTCGTTAACTTTAACTTTAAACTAATTTCCGTTAAATATACATTTATAAATTCTTTAGGTTTGCTTAATATTTCTGTATTGGCTAGCAAGAGGAGAAAGAACAAAATAGGTAATGTTTGAGAAGCATTTGGTTTTCCGTTTCCGTATTATACAATTTGCAAGTTACAACAATTAGTTATATATTTAACTTATGATCGATCTCCTGTCCAAAATCCTGCTCTCGATTTGCGCTCTTTTTCCTATATACTGAGTATAATCTATAACTTTTCATTAATACTAAAAATTGAATTCTTTGTTTTTTTGTTGTTTGTTTGTTTTTGTCTGAATTATTGTAGTTTGCTCCTAATCCCTATACGTACACTAAACGCAGTCGTTTTATAAACTTTACTTTGATTTCTTGGAAGTGTTCTCATTTGTTGTTGTTTGTATGGTTGTTTCTGGCCAGGATAGGTAGGTTTGGATATGGGCACAATGCGGCATAATGCGGAAGCCCGGAGCAGGGTCGTCTGCTCTCTGTAATCTCTATCTCCATTATTATGCTTTTTGCTGATATGTATTACAAGGTTGTGTCCATGTCCATGTCCATGTCCACCTGGGTGTGATGCCATCCATGCCTTTGGGGTGTTTGCTTGGCAAACAAATGCAAATCTATGTGAAGGCAGGTCCATCGTCATCTCCTTAGACCGTTGTCCCCGTCTCGCTGTCATCATTCCCATCGCTTGGTGGCTCCTTAGACGCCAATACAGCGGCGGTATTGTCTGGATCGACTGTCCCCTCCTCCTGGCTAAGAGAGGCGGGACTTGGGGAATTGGCACTGGAAGCGAAGCTGGCTTCGGCAGTAGCAGGGCTAGAAGGAGGTGTTGGTGGTGGAGCTGGCTGCTCCTCGGGATTGGAAACGGTTACCTCTTCCAGTTGTGTGTGCTCATCGGAACCCGTATCTGCTTTATCCTCCAGCTCGGGTTCCTTTTCTACTTCCCTTGCCCCTTCTTCACCTTCATTGGCAGTGACTGTGACTATGGCTGTGGCTGTGACCTCCTCTGTCTCCTTAGCGGGCGCATCTTGCTGCTGCTGCTGCTGAACGGCATCATCCAGTTTTTGAAGCAGCTCTGGCGACAACTCACCCATGTCATAGAGGCGCCGCTTGTTATTGTCCAATATTATCTCCTTCCACATGCTCACCAGCCTGGTGAAGTTCGTCAGGTCGCCAGGATCGTCATGTGGCAATGGTATGGAACGCGTGGACGACGTATCCTCGTCCTCGGAACTGCTGCTGCTCACCGCTCGGATCTTGGCCTTGTGGGATTTGGAAGCTTCGCTGGTTGTCGACGGTCTGATCATCGGAAGGCCCCCCAGATTGAGCTGAATTTTGTACTCGTGGAAATCTCTTTGGATGGAGCTGCGCCGCGAGTTGGCCATCTCCTCGGTGCTGCCCATTATCTGGTTGTATTCCCTCAGGCCCAGTTCCTCCACGGGCACGTAGTGGTCACCGATCTCCACCAGATAGACATAGCGGTTGACGTGCGAACGGAAGCGCATGTCCTTGTGATTGGGCGTCCAGCAGTGGACCACATGGCCTACCATGCCGGCACTCGGCTCCCAGTCCTTCCAGGACAGCCTGCCGCCATTGTTGCGCATTCGTTCTGTGGGCCACACAACGGCATCAATGATGTCCAGGCAGTCGTAGATCTGTGCGGGGTTTTCGTGATTATTAGCCTGAGCTTAAGGGTTTTATTTTCTAGTTTCTAGTGTTTCTACTTACCCCCGTGTCGTCCACTATGATGACCTTCTTGAATATCTCAATGCGCGGCTTTCTAATGATTCCACCACCTCCAGTTCCTGTTACCGTTCCCGATCCAGCGGGCTTTCCTTCTGCCACTGATGCACTCGTTCCCGTTTCGACGGCGGTAAGGCAAATCGGTCCCTTGGTCTTCCGTGGATAGTCGCCTGGCGTGGTAATGATGTTGCCGAGGCCCACGCCCATACCAAGACCCAAACTGCCCGATGAAGAGGAAAGCTTTGTGCTGCGCGGACTTGGTTCATGTTCTACCTGAGTTTGAGGCGTGGCCGGATCCTTCCCAGTCTCTCCGCCCGCTCCACCGCTAGCAATAGGCAAAGTGGCCCGGCGCTCGTGATCTCTGCCACGACTGCTGCCGACCTCAGCCGGTCTCCGACTTCGCACCCCGCTACTACTTGTGGCTCTGGTGGCCCCACTGGCTCCTGCTCCTCCAACTCCGGATCCGGAAGTTTCCTGATCGCGTTCTCTGTTGAGCAGTCCGGCAATCAGAGTTGTGGAGGTGGGTTTCACTGGCATCACAGCCAGACCGCCACGCACCACCGCCAAACTGTCGCTCACATAACTCCCGCCCAGATTGGCAGGGATGGCACCTCCGGGAACATTACCCGGGCGCACGTTATAGTAATTGTTTACGGTGAGGGTGTTGTAGAGCGGAGCAGAGATGAAGACGGGCGCTAAATCACCGGATTCACCGCCCGTGCTACTGGCGGTGCCGGGAGCGACCACTCCCAGACCAGATCCAGCCGAGGCACCCACTCCCGTGGCTGTAGAGGCGGCTCCCACGACGCTGCCACCGCTTCCAAAGTTACAGGCACCCAGCTGAACGGGGCCCGATCCCGGATGCGGCTCCAGAGCAGATCCAGAGCTGCAGCCTTGGCGACAGCGCTCGCGAATACGGTGCCACCAGCCGAGCACTGTGTGCCGTATGGTGTCCAGTGTGATGGCGCCTCCAATCACCTCGCACAGCTGGGCATTCGTATCTGCATAGGAGGTGGTGAGTGGAGAAACGTAGATGGGATACCCAATCGGCTGATCGCAGCTGGAGTTGATGATATTGCGGAGTGCCTGCTTGGCATTCTGGATGCTCCCGCGCTCCGGGTTTCGATTCCGCAGGTAAATCAGCTCCTGCTGCTGGCCAGCCCACAAGCCACGGACGCACTCCCGATTCAGCTTAATCACCCGGAAGCTCAGACATCGCTTCGTGAGGCGAATAATGCGATACTCATCCGAGCCATCCTCCATCACGTGCCGCAAGGCTAGCAGATTGGGTGCACCTCGCAGTACGGCGCTTCGCCAGACGGGATCGGCCTCATGCGAAATGACCAGCTCATTCGAACAGTTGTCGATGGCATCGTACAGGGCATGGGGATCTAGGAACTCATCGGGATTGGTAATGTGGTCCTGCTGCAGTTTAAGGGCCATTTTAACAGCCGGTGCCACCACGGAATGAAGCAGTTCCATGTCCGCGAAGACCCATTCATCGCGCGGTGAAGTGATCCGGAAATCCCCTTTAAACAGGGCATGTAGACCGTGCAAGAAGAACTCCACACCGGTCAACGAACTGTGCGAGGCAGTGGCCAGTGATCGCCTGGCCAGAAGGCCCAAGGCCAGGCAGAGGGAGACCAGCGGTGCATCCTTGCCCACGCTGGCCAGTTTCAGGCGAAGTGCAGGTTTTTCCTGGCTTTCCTTCCGGCTCGCTGGTGCTCCCGCTCCGGTGGCGGTGCTACTCTTGGCCAGCTTGACGAATACGTTTTGATCCATATAGGTCACATAGCCACCCAGTCCGGGAGCACTTTCCGACGTTTGACGGGATATATTGGCAAAGCTATGGGAGCTGCTCAACTGCGGGTCTCCGCCAACGGTGCCCGGCCCTCCTCCAGGGCCAGTGGCAGCACCTGCTCCGGCACTCACTCCTCCTCCGCTGCTTTCCTGGGCAACAGTCTTCTGCGGGCGGCGCAACTGTTGCTGCGACTGCGATTTTGACTGACCCGAAGCCGACCCCGACGATCCGCCGTGCGCCGAAAGATTGGGCGTGCTCTTCGAATCATTGTGGGCGGGCGTGACCGGTGGCGGCGGAGCAGCTGCCGCCGATGCCGGGGCAGAGGATGCTCCTCCAGCCGCTGCTGATGCTGGCGCAGGTGGTGCAGTTCCCATTGAGGCAGCATCCCGACGCATATCCACGCAGTAGTTGATCCATTTGAGGTACACATAGCAGAAACTGGAGCGCGTGATACCCACCGCCCGGAAGTCAAAGTCCTCGTCCAAATTGAAGTTAAAAATGGGATCCAGGTCGACGAACTGGCGGCTCAGTGTGTGCTGCAGGGCGTCCTGAATGGGACCGGAGGCCAGCCATTGCTCCAGCTTGGGGTTCTTCACCACATAATAAATGATGCTCTGAAAAATTACAATTTTAGATTAGCTGGAGCCTAATCGCGAAAATGAAAGAAAGCTCACCTTGATGTAGTAGGTGATGAGCACCTTGCGGTACTCGAACACCTGCAGCGTGGCACTGGCCAAATTGTCGGAAATGGAGTAGCCCTCTATGACGTACTGGGCAGCGACCACCTGCCAGGCCAGCCAGCGGGTGGAGAACATGGCGTTGGCGCTGAGCAGGCGCGGCAGGTGCCCCGGATCGCAGCAGCAGCAGCCGTCGTTGTCCTCCACGTCCTCGGTGATGGCCTCCACTTCGCGTTGCTGGCAGTAGGTGCCTCGGAATTCCAAGCCACGCATCTGGAATGTGCACAATCCGTTGCCCAGCTCAATGATGTGCACCAAACAGTTGAGATCGTCGGAGGCAAGAACTGCAGGAATAGCCATTTGAGTCTTGTTCAGTAGGAGCAGGGTGTTGTGTTCTTACCAAAGCAATCTCCCTGGTTGACGTTTCCCCAGCGACCCATCAGGAGATCCCCGCACAGCGAGTGCTGCAGAGATCGCGTCAAGTGCTCATAGAAGATGCTGTTGAGGTTGTTGTCATCTGCTCCCAAATCCCGCTCCAGCTGGGAGCTAAGCCGCGTATTAGAGTGGTCTATGCGACGCGTGTTGTAGTCCCGCTCCCAGAACTTTATGGGACGCACGTACGATGTGAGGAAGATGGCGCTGCCCAGAAAGGGATTCAGCGGGGTGGAAAGCAAGGCGGAGATGCCCGCCTGCAGGAACAGCATCGCCGAGTGGGGCACACTGAACGGCTGGGCGAAGGCGTGAAAGGCGGAGCCCCAGGTGATTTGCCAAGGAGCAATATAGGTCACAATGAATTGCAGCTGAGGAACGAATTTGTTAAGCATAACGATAATATCATAGACTGGTGGAGCTCTCACCTTCAGCAGGAAGTCACAGCACTTGCGGAAGGCCAGAGACACAAAGAAGTAGTCAATGATGAAGGTCTCCGTGGCCATGGAAAAATCGATGCGAAATAACAAAACCGTAAAAATGATGATCAGGTACTGGTTGGTCGGATCCGAGTAAGCGTTCCTCACAACTGACGAAGAGAGAACGAGAGATGGAGATTGGCATGAAAGTGAAAGAGATGGGAGAAGTTAAAATGACTGATCTTAGTAAGGATTGCTTTAATAACTCACACTTTAGAGCGCAGATGGCCACAATGAGGGTACCCCAGGGCAATCCAAACTTAGCGACAATCAGCTGGGAGTCCGCCGTTAGCGAGGAGATGGCCAGCAGCGGAAAGAGCACGTTCCGTTCCAGAACACTTAGGTAAATGTATAGCTTTTCAAACCACATGATCTTGGGGGCGTTGAGCACCTCGAACTGGCCGAACTCACGCTGCCGGAGCAGTGGTCGAGCGAAGCAAAGCCAGGGCATATGCTTCCTCATCTGGGGCACGATGTAGTGTAGCAGGAGTCCGAGTACGCCGATGAACGAGTACAGCACCACGTTAAGGTCCGGCTGCAGGGCGGTAAAAACGGTGCTGCAGTGCAGCCCCAGTACGCTGACCGCCAGCAGGGTCATCACCACCAGGTCGTTCTTCAGCCGAGTGGTCACTGTGGCCTGCAGTTTTCGTGGGAGTGGATCGGGAAGGTCATTGCCAGTCCCATTTCCATTGGCGTTTCCATTGACGCCGCCACCACTGCTGTTTTCACTGGCTTCGGTGGTTCCAGTTCCCGTTCCCAGATTTCCCTGCTGTTGTTTTTCGTCAGCAGGCGCTTCTCCTTCGGCGTCCGGGTCTGCCTCCAGGCATGCAGGAGTAGCATCCGTGGTGGCTGTGCCCGCTCCCGCTGTCAGCGTGGACATGTCCCCGGGATTAGTGGCAGATGAGCTGGAGATCTTGTCCTCGGTCTCATCGGCTTTTGCTGCTTGTTCATAGGCCTCTGCCAATTCGTGCTTGCTCGCCTCCTCGCTGGCCAGCACATCTCCCCGCTGATCCTCACCCTCCGCCGCCTCTCCGGCCACCACTCCGGCTTCAGCAGCTGCTCCAATGGAGGTACACGAACTGGAGGCCGTGATTGCTCTCTTGCTGCTGCTGATGGTCTTGGCCAGAGTTTGCTGACTACTACCCAACGACGAAGCCTTCGACTTGCTGTGCTTCTGTTGCAGGGGCAAATCCTGCTCAGCCTCTAGTTGATCATCTGTTCCGTGCTCTCTTTCCTGCTGCTCCTCGTTGGCGGTTAGTTTTTCCAGCGAGCTTAGCTCGATCTGCTCCTGCTCCGTCTTCGAATCCGTCTGCCGACGCTGCTTCGGTGTGCTGGTGGCCAACTGGAGGGCAGTGCTATTGCCAGTTCCTGTTCCTGTAACTGCCCCGACTGCCGCCACCTGTTGCACTTGACTAAGATCCTCATCTTCGTCGTCCCGGTACGTGCTCACAATGCACGTCTTGATCAGCCGCCACAAGTGGCTGAAGTCGCTGGCACAACGGGACAGGTGGTAGCCCAGGGGCACAAGCATGGCGCAGAAGATGGAGAACAGGATATACTGCGTGCCGCGTTGCTCGTCCAATGCTCCATATAGAGGTCCGTACAGCAGCATCACGGCAAGCACCGACCGCACCACGCACAAAAAAGAGCCTGCAAATTGCTAAGAATTAGCCCCAGATGCAGGATCATGATTATAAGGAAACTTACCGAGCAGACTGCTAGCAGCATTTCCGCCAAAGATATGCATGTCAATCTGCTCCAGCAGGTACATAAGGAACGTGTTGATCTGCGGACACAGTCCCACCGAGAAGATGATGGGAAAGCACAGCAGCAGGATGTAGAGCGCGTGCAGCAGGAGGGCCACCACGTCGGCGGGCGAGTAGCGCATGCCAAAGAAGACTACGGGGTCAGGTGGCCGTTCCCCGTAGTCCGTATCCAAGCGCTTGAGAAGTAGCAACATGCCCCCACCCAGGCAGAAGTATATAGCCCGCGAGTAGGCCACCGTCTTGTTAAATCCATGAACTGGCGACGCTGCGTCCGGCTGCACACTCTTCACCAGCGAATACTGAGCTCCCGCAATCACCGCGCAGAAGAGCAGAGCACACAGATCCTTGTAGTGGTCGTGCTGTAGGATCGCCGCTCCCAAGCAAGCCACCATGGTACACAGCAGACTGGCCAAGAGCACGTGCATCCAGTGAAGATCCCGGTCGAAGAGGGCCAGAAGCTCCAGCCGGTCCATGGCGATCTTGAACTCGTGCTCCTGACCGCACCACTTGAACCGGTACTTGTAGAAACTCTTTGGAGCCGCTGGCTTCTCCGCCGCGGATAGAAGGCACGCTGGCCTCCAGTAGTCGCAGTAGGGTGCAAAATGACCGTCTACATTCAGCATGGGTTGGCTCATCTGGCTGATCTGACTGATTTGGCTAATCTGGTTGCTGGGATGATTGGCCAGCCCCAGGGCGCTTAAAACACCTCCTCCACCACTTGATGTTCCGCCTCCAGCTCCGGATGCTGAGACGGACGCAGCTTCACTGGCGTTTGCCGCTACTGCCGCTGCCGCATCGCTGAGTTGCTGCAGAGCGTCCAACTGGCTGCGCGCCACCTGGCGCTCATTGCGGATCACATTGATCAGCCCTTGGACCGAAAATGGGGCGTTGGATGGATGCCGCGAGCTGGAGCTTCCGCGCATGAGCATACCCACCTGCTGTTGCGTCATCTGCTGGGTCGCGAGCGTGGTTCCCCGGACTCCGGAGTTGGCCTCCGCAGCCGCTGCTAGCTGCTCACACATCAACTTGGCATCCAGACGCAGTTTATCCCTGGCTAACGCTCGCTCAATGTTCGTCATGTGTTCCACACTGGAACCGGAAGTGGGATGGGCACCCTGGAGCGCTTGAATGGCATCCTGGTAGAACTGGAAGTGTGCGTTGGACATGTTCGGCGGAACGAGGCTGCTACTTGCGGGGATAGGAGTGCCGTCCGCCGAGATGCCAGTAATGGGTCGGCCCCGATCGTCCACAGCTCCGCCGTGCATCAGCCAGAGCATCTTATGGATATCGGCCGTTAAGCTGTCGGTCAGGCTGATGCTGTGCGTCGAATTTGAGGAGGAGGAGTTGCGCGACGCTAGCTTGGTCTGTTTGACCAGGGCAAACTCGTTGCCTACCTCGGTCGCATCCGCCGGGGAGCCTCCCCTCCGCCTTCGCCTTAGTTCGTCCACTTCTCGGTACTTGACCACCTTTGGAATGGCTCCCAGGTTCTTGGCTGCCATTTTTGAGGTGCAAGGCTGTTCCTCGTCTAGTTGACACCTCGGCGGCTGCTGATGCAGCTGCTGTTCAGACTCCATACCCGCCAGCAGTTGATCCTTGGAGCTCGCGCTCACTTGCTCGCAATCGCTGGACGGGCAGCCGGAATCCGCCTCGCTGCGAATGGGAGCGGGAGCAATGGGAGCTGGGATTACTGCCCCAGTTTGGTGTGACAGCTCCTGACGTAGTTGTTTGTCCGCCTGGATCTCTCTCAGAGTCACCTGCTGGCGATTGCGATCGCTGAGCAGTGGTGACCGCGATCCCGTGTTGTTATCCTCCGTCTCCTCGTCTTCCTCATCATTTCCGCCACTCATTCCTACTGCCACGGCTCCAGCTGACGACCCCGCGCCCTCCACTGGTGCCCCTTTATGATGCTGGTGGTGCAAAAGCGACTGATGATGGAGATCGTGGGTTTTTAGGTCGTCATCCAGCTGGTTGTGCGTCTGCTGCAGCTCGCTAAGGATATGCTCCAAGTTGTCGTCGAAATCTTTGAACACATCCGCATCAGCGGCATCGTCGTCCGCCAGCAAACCGCCCACATCCGACTCGACACTGTAGTGCGTTTGGCTGCAGCCCAAGGCTCGTGTTCTCCTGCGGATCGGGACGTCGTCCACCTCGTCGTCATCGTCGGCGTTACCTTGACCAATTCCCAAGGAAACGTCTTCGTGTTCCTCGTGCGCTGTCTTCTCATCACAATGCTCCACTATTGGGTACACTGGAGGCTCAATCAGCGCCGTTGTGGAGCCGCAAGCGCTGGAGCTACCGAAAAAGAGACTGCTGCAGGTGCTACCGTTGCCAGGCGCACCTCCTCCGGCCGCTGGATTTGATTCGCCAAAGCTTTGAGTGGGATACAGATTAAGGTGCTGGTTTCGCACCAAACTCTTGCTGGGAGGTGGCAGGGGATTCCGCATCTGCTGTTGGCCCGAGATGGCCTCCACGCTGTTCGGATGCGGGCTGAGATTGGACACCGAGGGCTGCGGGCAAAGAACCTCCAAGGCTGCGCTCTTGATGCGCCTTACTCCGCCAGCTCCTCCACTTCCTCCTGATGTACCTGTTTCACCGGCCTGGCCTCGTCCGCCTACTCCGCCCACCAGAGAGGATTTGTTGCCCTGAGCCGAGCTATGCTTGTAGCTGGTGGCGTTGGAATGTCTGCGTCGCTTCATCCCGGTAGCAGAGCCACCTCCTCCTGCTGCTCCACTTCCGCTTGTTCCCGGTCCCCCCGTTCCCGGCGGGGCGCCTCCCGCCAGCTGAAGTGCAGACATTGTGCTGGTAGGATCCTTGCGGATGATCGCACCGCCCAGGTGATGATGCAGGTGGTGGTGGTGGTGGTGATGATGATGATGCTGGGCGCGGAAAGTCGGCTGGTGCGGCTGTTCGATGCCCAGATCTGATTTGGTGTAGCTATCGTCCTCCAGGTACACGTCTGGAAAGGGATCTGCAAAGGCAACATGAAGATTTTAGAAATTGAGACCAGACACATAAAACATTCATTAAAATATGTAGCTCACCTAATATCCAGGACTGTAGGGCCCGGCTGCAAGCGTCAGCCACTCCGCCGCTGCCCGCATTCCTGGTCAGGCCCAGTTCCATGTCCTCCACATCGTTAGCGGCGCCACTGCCTCCTCCGCCGATCACAGCCAGCGCTCCGATGCTACTGGCTGCACTGTGGTGTGGAAGTTGCAGTATAGGCTGGAAGAGGCCGCCGCGACTCTGGTGCTTCAATCGCTCGTCGTGCGTCTCCGAGCTTCTGTGGCGCTGCAAGCGCGAGGAGCGTCCGGGATTTGTAGAGGAATTCGAGGCGGGGGCAATGACAACGACGGCGGTGGATGAAGACGCTGCATCTCCCCCGCCTATTCCCGCCGACGGGGTGCTGGCTATGAAGTGCTGGCGCGGATTGACCTGACCGCGCGCCTTGTTTGTCGGCTGGGAGTGAAGGAACGAGGGCGCCGCCGTGGCTATCGTGTCCGACTGGTTGCGCATCAGCTTGTGCTCCACGCTGGAGTTAGCAGCGGCTGCCGCTGTGTCCAAGCTACTCTGGCGCTCCAGACGTCGTCGATGGCGGCGGCTAAAGACCTCGGAGCACTTGCGCGACAGATGGCCCGTACGGACATGCTGAACGGGTGCTGTTCCCGCTCCCGCAGGTCCCAGTGCACCCACTGCTCCGCCTGATCGGCTGTCGCCACCGCTACTGCCGCCATCGGCGCTGCCCGCACTGCTCCCAGCCGCCTCGACGACCTCCGGATAGACGGTGAGGTACTTGTTGAACAGATCCGCCTGAGCAGCGGCACTGGTGGAGGAGTTTCCGCCCGGCCCCGTGCTCCGGATGGACTTGCTGACGCTGGCAGAACCGGCCAGCGATTGCTGATCCTGCTGACTGCCGCCAGACAGCATGGATGGGTCGTAGAACCTCAGTTCAATCGACTCGGAGCTGTTCTTGCGATGCACATCGACCTTAAGATCTGCGAAGGTGGAGGATTAGACTCGCCGACGCTGCCACAAGGCACAAAACTCACCAATTATGCTGTTCACGTTGTCGATGGACATGATGCTGTTCTCCTCGCTGGCCTCATTAATGGCCTGCTCGACGGAAATGCGCGAGCCGCCCGGTCGGATGACCTTCATCTCGATCCCGCCCTCGTCGTCATGGCGCGGCTCCGTCTCCTTGGTGACCTTGAAGAACTGCCCCTTGAGATTTACTTCGGACATGGTCTGGGCGCGATCGTAGAGCCGGTGAAGCGCCAGATTGGCCAGCTTCACCATCAGAATGGTCAAGCTGGTTATCACGCAGTACAGGCACCATGTCAACCAAGTGCTCGGAAAGTACTGAAAGATCGGGGTGCAGTTAGAAGGGAGGTCTTCCCATGGACAAGGGGGCCGCACAACTTACCAGGTAGGCCACAAAGGGCGAGCAGAGCAGGTAGAGCCACAGGTAAAGGTGCACCACGTTGCAGAAGACACCCTGGTGCGGATCGTAGAAGTAGCCGCCGGTCAGCGAGGCCCACACGCCCTGGCGCAGAATCTCCAAGGTCTGTGAACCCATGGTGGCCTATACTGCATCGCTCAGCCGCCGGATGGATGAGGATCCACGCTTCTGCTGCTCCAGCTTCCGGATTACTCACAGGAGGAGCTGCTGCAACTGCCCTTGCTGCCTCTCGCCACTCTTCCGTTTCCGTTTGTTTATTTGCTGATTAAGCCTGGCGAGCTGCAGGCGGGGGGCGTGGTCCGCGGGCGGGGCCTTGGAGGGCGGTGGTAGCGTGGGCGGGGCAGGGGGCGGAGCAGGAGGCAGGGCCAAAGTAGTTGCTTTTTCTGGGGGAAAGCTGTGCTGCGGGGCAGGAGGCGATGCTGCGGTTCCGCTGGAAACACTGCAATCCTGGCCAGGTGTTCCGCCGTAGCTGATTTCCCGGAGGTCACGATGCGATGCTGCTGCGAACGGATAAATTGAATATCGCTCGCAATTCCTGCCGTAATTTAACTTTTTTTCTTTTGTTTAGAGCAGTGTTATAAAGGTGGTAAACATCGATGCCAGCATATATTTATCGATGCTTTCGAAACATCGATAGCTCAATATTGCCTATCCGGTCTGTTTAAAATTACAGGTGGGTGACACCGCTAAGATAGTGATGTCACCAACCTTGAATTTAGTACGAGCGTTCGGAATATATGTGGTGTATTTTGGTATTTTAATGTTATTATATCGGTATATACTTAAATATATCCAAGCAAACGGTCTGTTCGAAATGACAGGTGGGTGACATCGCTAGCTTAGCGGTGCTTCCATCCTTGTGTATAATCTAATTGGATTTTGTTTTGGTAATACCAATAATTCAAATTCAAATTCAAAAATAACTATTTGAATACCGTTGCAGAGGGTATAATGGAACGATAGCTTAAGATTTCTGTAATTAGTTTTTAGTTTTCTAAAAATCGGAAAGCCCTGTACACACAAAGTTAGCTTACTTTCTTGTGTTTCTTATGTTTTTTTAAAATTAAGTGCAACTAGTAAATGGAAGACTACTCAACCGCTGCAACCAATCTTATTTTTGGTCGAAGATACTTTTTTTAAGGAAATGAATTAAAAAAGTATATAAGTAATCAATTGTTTCCTTTTTTTTGTATGAGGAACTTGAAAATGTGTTTCATTAAAAAAGATGGTGAATACATAGTCGTATTTTCATTACAGGGTTCATCATTTTTTATTTTTTGTAGAGTTCGTTTTCAATGTTTCAATGCAGTTAGCTTATGAAGCTTTGTAAATAAATATTTTATGACGTTGAGTTCTTTTTTGATATTAGTTTAAAACTAAATCAAAATTTTATTAACTCATAAAAGACAGTAGAAAGTTATTAAAAATGCACTATACAAAATGTATCTTTATGTTTAGTATGTATTTATTGATAAAAAATACTTGTCTTGTAATAGCAAATAAAACCAAGTCCCCTTTCTTAACTTTTGAAAAGCTTAAATCATTAAGAAATGGCAAAGCTGAAACCCAAATATGGATAAACCTGGCTTTTTTAGATTTTTGCCATTCACGTTTTCTAAAACTAAATTCTCCTTATTCCGATTTAACTACATGTCCATTCACACTTACAAAATACGATTTAGGCTAGCAAAAAAAAACAAACAAAAAGGATGTGTACGTATCTAGGGAATCACAAAGTGTCGGGACAGTCCGGGCGATGGGCCCACGTCCACGATCGGGTCAGTCTGCGCCCCACTTTGGGCGCTGCATAGTCAGCGCTCCTCGCTGCTGCTCCCATCGCCTCCGATGAAGTCGTCCCGCAGTCCGCCCCTGTGCTCGTAGTTGTGGTGGTGGTGGATGTGCTCCTCCTCCTCCTCCTCCTCGAGTTCCGGGAGGGCGGGTGGCGCCACCGACGGCGGCAGTGGGTGGTGGTGCTCGTGGTGGTCATGGTGATTGTGGTGATCGTGGTGGTCGTGCTTCTCGTGGTGGTGAATGTGCTCCTTGGTCTGGTGGATCTGGATGGGCCGGTGGTCCTCGTGGATCACCTTCTTCTCCTCCTTCAGAACAAGCGGCTTGTGGTGGTGGTGCACGTGTTTCACCACCGTGTGTATGTGCTTTTCGATCTTCTTGTGGATGGGCACGTGAATCACGATTTTCTTCTTTTTCTGGTGGCTTCTGGAAAAGTATAGTCAATAAATATTAAAGTAGTCCATTTGACATTTGTGCTAACGTGTAGGATCAATTATTTTTTAACTGACATTATTATTGGGATGGCTATTTGTAAGTCACACATAAAAGTCCTACTTTATTTTGGGAAAATATGATTTCTTTTAGTTGAAAATAAAAATGGTAAACTGTCTTTAAAGAAACAATTATTTTAAACCAAAAATATTGATTTATCGTTACTTAAGTTTCCGCCTAAGTTTTTAGTAATCCCTGGTAATCCATACCCCGCATCCGTTTCCGGCACGCATACGAGCAGCAGAACCAGCGCCACCACAATCGAGAGCCTCAGCAGCTGCAATAAAAGGCCACGTTTATTGGGTGTAATCCTTGGGGTAGTCCTGGGCACAAGTCCCGAGATGGCCACTCACCAAACTGCGGTTATCCATATCGCTTGGCTAGAGATCCAGATCCAGGTGTTGAGGTGTTGAAGGCTCCGACGGTGCGGCTGCTTTGATTGCTGCCCCACTGCAACCATTTTATTTATACAGGCCCACGGAATGCGGTGGATAAAATGGATATAATGGAATACCCCGGCGCCAGTTGGCGGCGCTTCCGTAACGCAGTCCATCAAAGATATGGTTAGAGCCATGGGTTTTTGGTTTTTGGTTTTGGGTTTGCATTGCTTCGCTTTGCTTTGGTGAAGCCTATGCGCACGCGCCGCGAACAAAAAGAGATGGCTGCTCAGTGGAAAACCTGCAATTTTCATTCATTTCGGATGGCAGCGATCATCGTGTCATGGCTTGTGGGTGGTTTCCAGCCAGGTGAGGACTAGCTAGCGCCGGATCGTACTCTACAGGCCCAAATTAGCCCTAATTTGTGAAATCTACACGGCAAAAAACCAAAAATATTTGATTTATATGAACATAATACTAGTCGTTAATTTATAATATCAAAATAAATATTTATTATTCGATTTTTTTTTTTAATAAAAAAGAAAATTGTACAAATCCATTATGAAAACAAATTTTTTCCGTGTCTTCCGGATTTCCCTTTGTCAGTACAATATGTTTCCAACGTCGCAGTTTCGTATAACTTTAAACTTCAGGAGCTTCCCAATTAATCAGATAAATGCGATCCCCTGACTCTAGGTTTTCGTCCAATTTACAAGGCATGGGAGCTTCGTCCACATTGATGGGTTTACCATTGTATTTCTCTTTGTTTTTCCGTTTTGTTTCGGCTGTGTGTGAACTTCTTCTAAAGTTTTTGCTTTATTTTTTCAGCAGCTCACGCAGACGGAAGCCACGGAAAACTGCGCCCGAAACTGAGGCTCTAAAAGCTGAAGACCCAAACTCAGTCAACGGAAATAGCAGGAGTGCAGCGTGTGTTTAATACCCACATAGATATGTTGCATGGCCGTACAGCACCTGGATCTCGATTCCCCGCCCGCTTTCCCCGCTTAACTTAAGTACATGGCACGTAACGCGAGAAATAGAGAAATACGTTACAAATAGATCGCATGCACATGGCGCATATTTGTATTATACCTACATATATTATGCAATAGTACAGACGATTTGCCAGATTTGCGGCTGTTGTTTAATTGCGAATCGCGAATTTATTCGTTATTTAATTCGTTTTCAAATGCGATCACTGTTAGAATGTGAAGCCTATCGATATCGTTGGCGGTCATCGGTTGAGGCCCCAACATAAAGAAGAAGCGCGTTGAAGAAGAGGAATGAGGAAAGAGCACAGCGAACGGAACAGAGAAGAGAATAGAAGAGCGATAAAAGCGTCACCACCGCACAGTGGGCGAAATCGAGCATTAAGCTACCTAAAACGTAACCTTTTAATTATGGATCCGTTATGATTCCATCTGAAATTAAGATATTTAGTTTCTTCATAATAATATTAATATTTCTTAGGTCTAGTTGTATTTGTACTAATAGCGGGTACGATTTCTTAATAAAGTAAGAAAGTTGCAGGACAAATAATATTGTAAACTTAAATTGGGTTTCAATTATATGCTAGTAAGGGGAATAAGAATTGGAAACTGAAAATGATATAAATTAAATATATTGACAGATATTTAAATCCAAAATTTGCTCAATGTTAGACCTTTTTCAGTAAGCATGAAATCGTTCTTAGAGATTATTTGTACTTGATTTTTGCACGGTGTTTTTCCCTGAATGTAGAACTGGTTCTTGTTAGGCCCACTGTGCGCAGACTGGCTGAGTGTGCTAGCGCATGTATGTGTGTGCCCCTCAATCGAAATCTTTTTTTAGTATTGAAAGAACGTAAGCAAACGTAAGCAAGAGCAGAGCTTACGTTCAAACACAAAAATACTGAAAAAACAGAGCGCGAGCGAGAATCTAAAAGAACAGAAAGAACAGTCGGAACAGTCGGGCAAGAAAGTTGGGGCGCAGCGAAATCGAGGCAGACAAAGTAAATAACTTAACAACGGCGAACATATACGAATAGGTGAACTATTTGTTGACGAACATTTGTTCGCCGTGTTTCCAGCTTAAGTTTCAGTTACTAGTTATTTTCCACACATTTCCCCTTTCTTTTATTTTTTTGTTTTGGTGCCTGTGTCTGTGTGTGAACCAATTGTTGCTGCTGCGCGAGTATTGGTGACGTGATTAATAAATTCCCAGTGACAAAGCCCAAAAGAAACAGTAAAAAAGCAATATGCAACGATGAGGCGATTAAACTTTAAATAAAGATCACGTTCGGGAGATTTTCTGGTTGATTTTCTTCGAGGCGAGATTTCGATTTTCTGTTGTGTGTGTGTGTGTGTGTGTGCGCGCGATCATTTCTCCCAAATGGGAGCAGCAGCAGCAGAAGCTCCCATTTCTCAATTGGAGCCCCCATGGGAACAGTTCTTGGTGATCAGACCCTATGGAATTTGAATTGCTAAACTGCAGCACTTGTAGAGCTTCTGATAAGAGATTGCCTCGATCAACCTGTTCCCATCGAACGTGTGTGTGTGTGTTTGTGCAACATTTTGTTAGAATTTGTTAGCCATAAATGGCCACAAACCGCAAAAGTCAATAAACCCAAGCCCACATCTCAAAAATATTTCGAACCGGGCGTTGAGAATGGCGAAAATCAATCGAAAGCAAAATTCCATAAGTGGCGGACGTACATCACAAGTATTCCTATATATTCAGATATATATATTACGATATTCATCTGGCCGTGAGTGTGTGTGCATTGCAGGTTCTAAAAATCCAGAAATACTTCTGGAGGGTGATACGTATGGATGTAGAGGGGGGGAGACCTGTTTTCATCCAGCCCAAAAATGGACCCTCCCACACATAAAATACCCAGACCCAGTTCACCTCCAAAGAGGAAGTCGTATTTTCAATGTCTTTGGCGCGGATTTCGCTTTCCCATTTTCCGCATTTTCCATTTTCCACCGTTTACCACCTCTTGCCGTAAATCATGGCCAATTAAGGTCCGCACCCTTGGCCAGTTAGTGCGTCACTATAGCCAGTTCCATTTCCATTTTCATTTCCAATCCGATACCCAACATCGACATCCCCCAAAAGTCTGGCGAGTGACCTCACGAGATGCGTCATCGTTATTAAAGCGAAAGCCAAAACAAGCCAAAGTGAATCAACAGAACAGAACTGAAAAATAACAACAAAAGATATGAAATATTGGGAACTTCAGGCGATAAGCTTTAAGGCGAAAAACCCCTGACCCTCGGAATTCTCTATATCTAAAGCATTGGGAATGTTTCTCAGAAAAGGTTTGCCCAAACCCCGAAGAAAAACTACTACAAATCCTTAGATTCTTTGTTGATTTTCTTTTGAAATATTCCCAATCAAAAGTATAGTTTACTGCAGTCTATAAACCATCCATTTTAAGAGATGTTCCATAAAATAACTAACAAAGTGTTTAGATCTTGAACTGATAGTTACAAACGTGCTGATCAATTGATTTACATGGGGCTGTTTCCACATCAATTGATTTTCCTCCCAGTTTGAAGATAGCATGCAAGTTAATTGAAGTGGGGTTTTTTATTTGGCTGCCATTAACGAATATTTTGTCCCTGAATAAATCCATGATCAGTAATAATTTGCTTTCAAGGCATATCACTTTATGCCGTGCCAAGAGCCAAGGTTGTGAAATATGGTTACTTTAGGAAGAAAACTAGAACAGCCCTGATTATTTGGCCCCGTGTACTTACTCTTATCTGACACTTTAGATGGAATCCAGAAAGATAACCCCCTGAGATCGTCTTGTGCCCATATAATGTTTTCAGTTTTCGTGTTTCTTTCTTTTAGTTAACTAGAGATCTGGCCCACAAGAAAGAGAGAAAGAGGAAAGCAGCAATTCTGAGATAAACAAACTGAAAAAGAAGGAAGCGCCAAAGAAGCCAAAATGCCTGTCTTCCACACAAAAACCATCGAAAGCATATTAGATCCTGTTGCCCAGCAGGTAAGCATCGTTCGTAAATAGGGTCTACGGTTTTGGGGCTTAAGATGAAGGACTGAACTTTTGTTTCAAGTAAATCTCTTGTTCGCATAGCTATAACTAGTAAGCAAATTGGCGCCTAAGAAGGTAACGTTTAATGGTTATTAATAGGTTGATCAGAAGGACACACTTGTGAAACATAAATGTTAATATACACTGAGGACAAATTTTTGACAATCGAAAGATGTTGAACTTAAGCTGAAATAGCTATGCTTATCAGTTATATAAGTTCCTGATTAATATAGACTATATAACTATTCCAAATAACAATCTTTTATCTTTTTCTTAAATATATATGTGCTTTTTAAGTTTTGATGTTGAAATTAAGTTATTGAAATGAAGAATGTTAAAGGTTTGATTTGATGCTGCTTTGTCCTCAGTGTATATTTGCGTAGTAGAAGAACACACCACAGACTCCACTCTTCATTTTCCCCACCGAAACTGATCACTGATCACCGATTATTGATCACTTATCGGTAGCTATTTAAACCTGACATCTGTGTGGCATGTGTTAGGTGTTATGCTATGCTATTTACGTGAATCCCCCTTTCCGATCCATTCCGTTCCGTTCGCCCCCACAATGTATACCCATTTATTTATGTGTGTTTTCCATCATCGGATGAAACAAACTTGCGGAGAGGAGGTGATCAGCGATCAGTTGTTTTTGTGTTGTTTGGCCTTTTTGTTTTTTGGCGTTACTTAACGGGTCTAAAAATAAATGAGGTAGGAATAATAAGAATAAATGTTGATCAGAGGCCAGCGGCCAACCTGAGCTTCTGAGGACAGACAGAATTTTAATTTAATAACGCGAGCGCAACAAATGAAAATGAAAAATCAGGCGGAGCAAAGAAAACAAATCAGAGACGAGATGCGGGGTATATTTTTTTTTGGCCCTCTTCCAAAAATAGAAGCATAAAATACGTTTAGTAAAATCCAACAACAGCGGCAACAACATTCAGTATCT